CTTATTATAGAATGGATATAAATTCACTAGAGTCGGTGCAGCGAAGAATGGCGAAAATGATTCCGGGACTTAGAAACCTTGCTTATCAGGATAGGTTAAAGAAACTAAACTTGCATTCCCTAGAAAGACGAAGAGTGCGGGGAGATATGATAGAAGTATTTAAGTGGGTGAAAGGAATCAATAAAGGGGTTATAGATAAAGTTCTTATAATATCCGAGCAGAATAGGACTCGGAGCAACGGGTGTAAGTTGGATAAGTTTAGGTTTAGAAGGGAGATAGGAAGGAACTGGTTCACAAATAGGGTGGTGAACGAGTGGAACAAGCTTAGCAACTTTGTAGTAAGTGCTGGAACGCTGGAAAGTTTTAAAAGGAGACTGAATAGATTCATGGATGATAGATAGTGGTAGTAACTCTCGACAGGAACTGCCATGCACAGGCCAACCGGCCTGTTGCAGACTCCTTATTTTCTTACGTTCTTATGTTCTTGCATATATATATATATATATATATATATATATATATATATATATATATATATATATATATATATATATATATATATATATATATATATATATATATATATATATATTACAGTGGAATTGAAAAACATAGGTATAATGGGGGAGCAATACAACATGGGTTGTACAGTAATAAGGTTGAACAAGAGGACAGAGCTGTCTGGATTATGTCTAGTTGGCAATTATGTTTATTGCAATGGTAATTACTTACATATTTACATGATAATTTCCGATAAAACGGTTTTGATGGTACAATAAAAGCAGGTACTGTAAATATAGTAGTCTCTCTGCCGCTCGAGGACGTCTCTCTGTCACCTGAGGACGTCTCTCTGTCACCTGAGGACGTCTCTCTGTCACCTGAGGACGTCTCTCTGTCGGCTGAGGACGTCTCTCTCTGTGAGGACGTCTCTCTGCCGCTCGGGGACGTCTCTGTCACCTGTGGACGTCTCTCTGTCACCTGAGGACATCTCTCTCTGTCACCTGAGGACGTCTCTCTGTCGGCTGAGGACGTCTCTCTGTCACCTGAGGACGTCTCTGTCACCAGGACGTCTCTCTGTCACCTGAGGACGTCTCTCTGTCGCCTGAGGACGTCTCTCTCTGTCGTTCGTGAATGCCATCTGTCACCTGGGGAAAAAGTCTCTATTTATGTATCTGTCGATCTTTCCATTCCCCTCTCTCTCTCTCACACATACACACACACACACACACACACACACACACACACACACACACACACACACACACACACACATACACACACACACACACACACGAAGTACCCACCGTGTCTCAACATCCGACGGACATCCCCTTCTACATGTATTTCACTACAACCGCAACACATATCCGCATCAGGAAACACAAAATTAAACCAGTGTGAAGTAAAATATTGCAACACTTGTATTTAGTTGCAATATCAGTCCATGCAATATAAATGAACTTGGAGAGTAAGTTGTGCATATGATGCAATTAGCGACTAGTGAAGGTTGGTGTGGGTGGCAGGTGGGTACAGGTGGTACAGGTGGGTAAACAGGTGGGTGGGAGATATAAAAAGGTGGTCCAGGTGGGTTAGAGATATAGACACGTGGTATAGGTGGGTCAGGGATGTAAACAGATGGTCCAGGTGGGTAGATGGTGTGTAAACAGGTGGTCCAGGTGGGTAGAGGTGTGTGTAAAGAGGTGGTCCAGGTGGGTAGAAGTGTGTGTAAACAGGTGGTCCAGGTGGGTAGAAGTGTGTGTAAACAGGTGGTCCCAGGTGGGTAGTGAGGTGTAACAGGTGGTCCAGGTGGGTAGAAGTGTGTGTAAACAGGTGGTCCAGGTGGGTAGAGGTGTGTGTAAACAGGTGGTCCAGGTGGGTAGAGGTGTGTGTAAACAGGTGGTACAGGTGGGCGGGCAGGTGTAGTTCAATGCCCTTAGCTTGGTGGCTTCTATAAATAGGAGCTTTACCTTCACGTACCCGCTCGACCCTCCCTCCACCTGCCTACCCATCACCCACCCCCTCCCCTCTCCCTCCAGACCTAGATTTTGTCATGTGTGAGAGAGAGAAAGAGAGAGAGAGAGAGAGAGAGAGAGAGAGGCGCCATACTTATCGATCTCTGATGTTTCCGTGAGTTAAGAAACAAGTAATCGTATTAAGAACATGCCAAGGTAAAGAGTCATCACAATGGAACATGTGACTATCGACTGTCTGCGTTAAATTGATGACAGTTGAGGACAGTTATTAGCACTTGTCGACTGTTCAACCTTAAGGAATAACAGTTAAATCCATTCCATAGTATACCACCTGACTGGTTGCGTCAATTAATCAACAGTCAGGGTCAACCAACCGATCCGTCATGTTTACGAAATATTTCACTGGGAATAAATGTGATTATTTATTACGTCAAGAGAAGTTACGTCAGAATAAAATTGTCAAGGGGTATCAACGTCAGATAAACGGATTTAATGAGAAGTATATGACGCATTGTGTCTGTCTGTCTGTTGTGGTCCACCGGAAGTCTCATTGTGTACACAGAGAGGGAAAACCCCCTGAGCAGGTGTCGTTCGTTCTCTATCACATGAAGTCTAACCAAACCTAACCTAACCTAACCAAACCTAACCTAACCTAACCTAACCAAAGTTAACGTAATCTACAATACTAAATCATGTGACTACTTAACTTGGCTTAACCGACCAGACGATAACTTTAAACACAAACCAAACCTAACCTAACCTAACCAAACCTAACCTAACCTAACCTAACCTAACCTACCCTACACACACTCAGGGGCTCAGGGTTCCTCCGTCACGCTCAGAGCCACAACGTAAGGGTGCAGGAACGGGAGGTTGAGGGATGGAGGTAGCAGCGGCGTAGCTCAGGAGAAAGTAGGTGAGAGTGTGTGTGTGTGGGCGAGGCGAGATAGTCTGCATGGCTCTCATTTATTTTTTGTTCCTTGGCCAGAATTTCTGTACTGGAGAGAAGAAACTGCTGGATCACGGCCTAACTTAAACTTAACGAAACCTAACTTAATCTAAACCAACCTAACCTGATTCTAATCTAACTCTGACTAGACATTCTTAAACCAGCCCAAGGAACTTTGACCTAACTCTAACTCAACCTAACCAAACCTTGCATACGCCGACTAAACCTAAAGAAACCCTAGCTAAACTTAACCTACCCTAACCTAACCTCAGCTAAACCTAACGTAACCCCATCCAACGTAATCTAACCCTACCTAAACCTAAAGTAACTCAACCCAACATACCCTACCTTAACTTAATTGAACCCTTAACTAAGTTCATCCTAATTAGGCATTTCACCTGCCAGAATTAGCCTACCTGATGTTATTTTCACCGTTTGATCTCTGTTTTGAAGTTATAGGTTGAATTAGGTCACGTTGGGTTAGGATAAGTTTAGTTTATGTACGATTGAGTTTATGTCAGTAAATTTAGGCACAGATCTCAATGTAAGAATCTCTTGATCACATCAGATCTAACAAGACAAAAATAACAAGGGGTTTAACTGACTGACTGACTGACTGGGATAAAAACACGTCCAATTTTTCCTCTTTCTCCTGACCGTGAGACTGAAAACTGTTCTCACTCACTGACTAACTTTTCCTGTTCGAGGGGTGTGTTGGTGGTGGTGCAGTGTGCCATGTTGGGTTAGGTTAGGTTCGCTTTAGACACAATAGTGTTTGTTAGGGTTAGGTTGAGGTAAGCTGGGTTAAATTAAGATGTGTAAGGTTAGGATGGAGTATGTTAGGGTTAGGTTAGGGGAGGGTAGGTTGGGTTATGGTAGTTTTGGGTGCGTTGTGTTAGGTTAGGTTACTATAGGATAGGCTGGGTTAAGTTAGTTTGGGGTGTTAGGGCTGTTTCCATCTGGCCAGCACCAGTAACACCAGTGTGGTGGCCTCATTAGTCTCAACACAGATAACAACAATCACCTTGTTATCACCACTACTGCTAGCTAGTTCACGTTAACGTGTGTCAGGTGCCCGCCGCGCCCTGGTCGTATACAGACTGTTGACCTGAGAAAGAGATAGTGTGTGTGTGTGTGAAGGAAGAAGAAAGGCTGAACAAGAGAGAGTGAGGAAGGAGGATCATACATTATAGTTCTGTTTCTTCTCATTCTTCACTCTTGTCTTTATCATTCCCTTTGTCTCGAAGGTCTGTCGTTTCTACAGGTCTCGTACTCGGGGTGTGTGTAAGTTGAACCCCGCAAGCCTCAGAGGGGTTGAAACAAGCGGTCTCTCACACAGACCCCTTGTATACACCCCACTTCTCCCCAGTCGTAAAAGGGTCTTACTCCTCCCTGCATATCACCGTTCCCGTCTATGTCCCCGTTTCTTTAAGGTTAAGCAACACTTCCACGTAACTATGTAGAGTAACGTCTTCCCTTACGTGACGCTTTGATTTAATCTGGGTTTACAGTCACTCATCTAACGCACTGCCCCAGCCGTAAGTAGAATAAACAGCCCGGGTAACATTATATAGCTCTGGGGTACTCCCGCATTTATTTCAAGGAGCTTACTCATGATGCAGTTCACTCTAAAGGTGTACATATATTTCTTCTTTTTGGTCATCTTCTGCGTGTGTGTGTTTGTGAATATAATGACGCACGCAAACTCAAAGTGGAAATGAGGTGTCAAGTTAGTGTGGTGTAAGAGAGTAAATGAGGAAAACTAGACTTGTTGAAGCTCCGTTCGTGGTGGTGTGTGGCATTGCGTCAGGCAGTCGTCAACCTTGGCCGCCGCCGCTCCACCCTCACACTTTATGGCGCCGGGTACCTTAACCCCACCGCCTTTCCAACCTCACGCACGCTAAACAACCCAACACTTGCTCATAATATTACCTAAACAACACTTGAGCATTTATAAATCCTGAAATATTTTCAATTTGGACCAATTCGTGATAAAGAGGTTGAGTAACTAGCTGTTGGTTTACGCATTTCCTGTCAAAACGGTGGCAGGAGTTAGTAGTGTTGGGGTCAGTTAGGTCACAGCAGTGGCAGGAGGTGTGAGTGAGTGAGTGAGTGCTGGTCACTCTAGATAACGCCCCACTTGTTATACATTATCACCATCATCGTAGCCGCGCTCACTCCCACCAACATACCTGACAAGACGACCCACACAAGGCCACGCCCTAGCTATCAAGCTGCCATGGTGCACAACAGGTCTGCCTCAGGTACTGCTGTTGCTTTCAAGTAAACAAAAACATCAATTGGTAAGATAGTGTGTTCTCTCTGACCGGAACACTTGACGCTTCCTGTGAATTAATACCGTAATACTGTATCCTTTCACCAAAACTTGTGTAATGGATAAGTTGCGTTAAATTAGAACACGTTATGGTGCGATACTGCTATTTTTTATCATCTTATGTTTGGTTAACTATCAGGTTAGTTTAAGTTGCTAGTGGTGTGAACGGGTCATGGTCTCTCACTAGTTCATAATAGCCGACCAGGGTTGGGGAGGGTAATGTCAGCCCACGTGATGTGTTGTGGTGCACCAAGAAAGGTTCCAGTCTACAGTATATGGGTCACTCGGCTCACTCGCCCATCACAGTTAAGTGAGAGAGTATATTGGTCATTACATATACCATTGGTGGTATCCAGTGTGTGTGTGTAAGAAGTCGTATAGTGTGTGTATAACGGTCACGTACCGGGCGAAGCAACGAAAGACTTGAATACTGAAATCATAAAATACATACGATATATTGTTGTATCCTAATTAAACCTTCCTTGGCATTTTCAAGTGTAGATTAAGTTAAGTTAGGTTAGCGTAGAATGATTACCTGATCGTCAAATATTTCACTCTTTAAATCGTACTTGTGCGTCTGCTACCTTACTACTACCAACAAAGGAGTCTTGGGTCCATATTCTCAAAGGGTTCGTACGATGAATGTTCCTGGTAAGAGAGAACGTCAGAATGCACCTCACTGGCTCACTTACTGTAAGCTACAGCACAACAATTACCTTTAAAATAACCTGGGATGTCGGATCTTCAGGTAAATATTTGTTTTTCTCTTAAATGGCTTTAAGTTGGGAGGTTTATTTCATTGTTACTCAGGAATGTAGATATGATAAGGGGTTGGTTGATGGTGGGGCGCGGGTAGGTGACTCCAGGGGCTGCTGTGGTGAAAGTATGTGTTAGGCCAGATTTCTTAACCCTGCGTGCGTGTGTGCGTGGTGTTGGGTGTGTATGGTGGTGGTCGTGGTGATCCAGCAGCACATGTGTGTGTGTGTGTCAGGCAACGAATGGGGGGGGGGGGACTGTAGCTGTAGTGCAGAGAATATAAGACCCCTCCCCCCTCTTAGTTCACTGAACTCAAATAACATAATAATCACGCCCACCTCTGATAACCGCTATATTGAGATCAAGATAGCGACGATGGTGTTCCCTAAACGGACATAAAACAAATAAATTGCCATGACGACTGAACGAAAATGGAACCTCTTTTTGTCAACAGTTGACCTCCAGTTTGTATTATGTTGACATTATTGAGCTTTCGCTACAGCTACCAGGGTGTGAAAATGGGAGTTATGGTGGTGATTGACCTTTACAATATGTTGGTGGGCGATAATGTTATCTTAAAACCCAGGTCTTGTTGTTATACTCATAGTTCAAGTGCGTCCTCACCTTGTGCACTATCGTACTCTTGTCATAAGTAACAGATAATTAGTCACTGTTAGAACTACTGTACTCCTTAATGTTAAATGAAGCCTGATTTGATTAATATGAGTTTAGAGTCCTCGGTATATGTCCCAGCTTATTCACAAGCTGGGAAGTAAACAAAAGATGCTGGATCCAGAAGATTCACAAAGATTCGTCCTGTGAATATTCTTCGCAAGTAAAGATGTGTGAATTTATCTAATTGGTTGACTTACGACAAAACACTAAATATAAACAATAACTTACATTAAAGTACTGAGACTTTACCTTAGCACCCTACGTAACATTACCTAAAGCTCTATTTAAAAATATTCTTACCAAAGAGAATATAAGCGTTTTCCTTACCCATTGACCTTCCATCTTACGAAAAAATTCCGACCGTAAACTCGTCCATTAATCGATGTTATTAGTGAACTTTATTTTTGGTGTTTTACCTTAAGACAACCATTTAGGTACATTCTCATGTCTTCACTTGCGAGAAACATCTTATGAACCTTTGGACATGTGCACTCTGGTACTGCATATGAAAGGACGTCATTAAGTGAACGTAATAGTGTATCAGGAAATTGTATCTCCCCAAACTACTTAATAGCCCAATTTTCCCCACACAAGTTGTAATTCAGGTGTACTTTGACCGAAGCTTCAAGTTTCCTCTGTATAAAGAAGTCCTATTTGATTCGACATACAGAATAATGTTTGTATGAGGTAAATAAGCATTCATTTTTGTGAACAATTTTAAACTTTCATTGCACATAGTTTTATAACAGAAATACATTTGTGTGAGGCTTAATTCATTGTCCTATACTTATATATCAACGGATTATCTGAAGATTATCCCTCACCTTATTTCACCTGAAGATTAACCACCCTAACGCTGCCTGGGGTTGGGTTAGGTAGAGTTGCATCGCCTTCACTAGGAATATTAAAAAAAAAACTACTTCTAAAATACGGCAACATCCAGCGTCGTCTCTTGGTAATTATGACTTCTTACTCTTCACTGCCACAGTTGGGCTCTAAAGAAATAATATGTTCATCTTCAGTTCACGAAGAGATAGATAGGTAGAGACAAAAATGGAATATATGAGGCTCGACCATCTCTGACATATAATGTTGTATATTATAAACATTGTGTCGTGTGTGTGTGTGTTTAAGATGAGGATAATTATGAACAAGTATGTGATGATATTTGTATTGTATAACACCATACTGTCACTATCCACAGTGTATCCTCTCCACTATTATGTCCCACCTTTCTTTATGGATTTCTGTACCCCTTGATCCACCTCCACACAATGGTTGGAGAGGAATCAAGTTAATAGAGAGAGATATGTGTAATAGTGTATGCAATGATCGTCCAGTTGACCGGGATGATGTAAGAGATAGGGACGTAACTATGGGAGTGAGGAAATAAAATGAATATATTTTAGCACGTGACTGATCCATCTTGACATTTAATATTATACAACATCTATATATTTTTAGATGTTTTATTGCAGCTATGTGTAATGAAACCTATAGGCAACCGGGAAGATTAAATAGTCCCCTGCATACAGATTATCGTTTTCTCCGGGGTGTAGGGTGGAGGTTTTCATCCATTTTCTCTGCTAGTGGTTGTGGTAGGAGTGGTGGTGGTGGTAGGAGAGGGTGGTGGTGGTGGTGGTGGTGGTTTTGGCGCGCTTCAAGATTCGAATCTGTTTTCCCACAATGCCTCGGCTGTGTTGATCGTGACGTCACGGCCGAGTGAGACGTTGACGCCATACTGGGTGTTAATTGTGAAAATTGTGTGAATCCCATGCCATCCGTGCGATTTCTAGATGTTGAACGATAAATATATGACATCCTACCACCTTAAATTACCAAAAAGTGTTTACCAAGGAAGAGACTTTTGGGATGGCCGGTAAGTACAGTGGAGAATAGATGCGAAGAGGACGAGCCCGAGTCTCCTCTCTCTTCTGGTGCTCGGAGAGAACTAATCGCCGGTTTTCACTAAAATAAAATAAAATCTCCCGCCGGCCAAAATAGGGAAGTGTGGCGGTGACCCGGGAGGAAAGACTAGTAACTCCATAATGTCTGATTTTGCAGGCAATGGAGACATCCAATGGTGCTTCTCTCAAGTCAAAGGAACCCTAGACGATGACGTTAGTGAAGGTAAGATTCATCACAAGTGTTTTTATTGCTTCATGCTTTATGCCTCATATTTACTCCTCCATCTGTTGTCTTACTTTACCCATAATGTATTTTTGACCTAGTTTCTTGCCTCGCTAGTAGACATTTTTTCTTAACTTTTACTATGACTGAGGTTAATGTTTGCAATCATTCAAACTTCCTTCTCCATCTTGTCAGGTGATTAACCCATATAAAATGTTCTCCAGCACCTATTTAACCCATTGTTGTAATTGTTCTAATTTTAAAGTACAGTATTATAGGGAGTGGCTTGGGGCCCAGTGTGTCCTGCTCATGTTACTACTTTACTATAGTTATATTATTATTATTAGTTGGATAAATATTTGAATTGTTAACATTACTCCTGGGAATATACTTTTGAACCGCTGAATAAGCACCTCATTTTGAATTGGTGGTGGTGTTGCAGAAACATTGCTTGCTGCTCACAATTGTAATTTTTTTTTTTATTTGCACCTTGGGCTAATGTGAGAAGGTGATGTCCAGTAAAATGCTGCGAAACATGATGGATTTATTCCAGATAATCAAGTGTTCTATACTAACATTGGACCTGTGGAGGATAGCCTTCTCTGTAGGGGCTATTTAGTGAGAAAATATCAGTCAGATGTTGTGTGGCTAGTGGTTCTCACTTCTTGGAATAATCTTCATTTTTCTGATATAGTAATATAAACACTAATAACTTGACCTTAGTTAATGTCTTGTGTTTGTTTAAATGATTTACAATATGGCTCCATTTGATACCCAATCTCTTGAAATACTCCTTTTGTTTAGTGGATATAGGAATGTCTGCCGTACACCAAAAATCACGTATATAGGTACAGCGGTCGCTATACCGGACCATGTTGTTATTGGTTAGGTTAGAAAGAATGCCATCTTAGTAACTATAATTGTATAGTCTGCCCACCACTTATGTGCATTAGGCTGCTGTACCAATAAAAATCAGTGTTTTGCATTTGGCTGCCGTACCTATATCCTGTGCCTTGTTAAATGTATAGGTACTGCAATGTGTAGAAAAAATCAAACTTCGTTCATCATCAACGTTAACCAAAATGAACTTGATGTTACAGGAGATGTCTAATCAAAATAATTGCCCTCATGTGTTGGAAATTCCTGTACATTAATGGTAAATACAAAACAGTAACATGATTGTATAATTTCTCATCATTTTGTGAAGTCAGTTTGGCTTAATTGGGAAAATTTAGGTGAGGTTAGTTGAGTTAGGTTATTTTAAAGGTGTAGAATAAGGGTGACACTTTATTACAAAAAAATTGTTTGGTGGGTTGCTTTTGGATGTTTGTTTTAATGCATAGGATGCTGAAATTTTGTGTTAGTGAGACCTCACTTTGAATGTGCAGTTTAATTTTGGTCACCATACTACCGATTTTGAATGAATATTGGCTCCCCAAAGAAAACAGTTAGAAAAGGACAACTAAATAAATCCCAGGTATAAGGAAGGAACCTTGAATGGAGATTGATTAAAAAAAAAATGAATTTGCATTCCTTGGAGAGAAGTTGTGAAGGGCAAGATGATCAAAGTGTATACAGGAGGTCCTCGGGTTACAAACGGGTTCCGTTCCTGAGGACGTTCTTAAGTCGGAGCACATACAGTACTATGTGCTTACCGTACATACAGAACAAAACCTCAGTCCTTATATACTTCTAAAATCACGTAATTTAAGAGAAAAGAAGAAAATGGTTGACAATACAGTAAATGAAAAAAATATGTCATCGGGTAAATAAAATACTGTAAATTTCAAGTTTAACCTTGTTCGTATCGGTGGGCGTTCATAAGTCAGGAACCCCCTGTACAGTATGGAAGACTTGCCATTCGCGAATTTGCTATTCACAATTTTGACAATTCGCGGTAAACAGATGGTGGCTAGCTTGCGAGCCTTTTCCCACATCACAATGAGTCACCCCACACTTTATCTGGTGTTGTACTCTAAAAACTTTTGTTTCTGTGTGAAATGACCCCTCAAAAAAATGCCTCGTGTCAGTGCTAGTGGAGTGAAATGTAAATGGCAGAAGTCAGTGATGACCCTGACAACGAAAGTTGAATTAAAGTACAAAAGTACAAGATATAAAGCAGCATAAAAGTACAAACATTACTGATAAACAGTCACGTGATGTGAAACTGCTCGTAGCAAATATTTAGCAGATCTTCGTCCACTACTGAATTCGTCCCACAGTTTGAAGAGCTGTCCTTGGTGATGTACATACTTGGCCTGCTGTGTTCGTAGCATGTTACCGTTGGACAAGAGCCACACCTGGAGTGTCATTAGTTTTGCTTCACTATGGAGTAGCTTGATTAACAGATAGAAGTTAAGATGTCATTTTCTTGCTTTCAAATTAAGGCGATTATGCCACTCTTCACAGTCATTATTTGTGCAAGGTGAGCCGAGTCAGTAGTGTGTGGGCCCAGTTTGTTATTTAAGTTGGGCCTAGTTGGTTATTTAAGATGGGCCGAGTTGGAAGTACACTTGTTGTTTGGTATAGGTATACAGTAGTGCACTAAAGTTGTATAAGTTGCTGTTTGCAGTTTTTCCTTCACTCTATTCTTTGGAACCTAACCCCCACAAATAACAAGGGTTTACTGTATATGGAAGATGGATTCACTTAAAGGTGATATAATTATGGTACCATACATAAACTATAAAATTACATAGGTGCCAATACATATTAGTGGGTATAAGTTAGAGAAATTAAGATTTAGGAAGGAATTAGGTAACCTTTGGTTCAGAAATAAGAGTTTTGGATGAATGAAACAAGTTACCAAACACCATCATCAACTCAAACTCATTGGAAGTTTTAAATATGGAAGTGACTACTAAGGTAGAATTTCCCGGCAGGGCAGACTGGGGACTACAGTATATAGCCGGGATATTAATTTAGGGTGGAAAGGTCGTGTGTCCTGACATATGAGAGTCATTAGGTTTGTTTCCTTAGGCTTTGGGTTTTTCCTTTTTGGTAAGGTTAATTTGGGTAAAAATGTATTTCCCCATCATTTTTGGGATGTTCTTAAGAAAAGGAAGAAGTTTTCTTCTATTGGAAAGCTTCTTAATGTTGTTTGTTATTTTCTTAAAGTTTTTGGTAATACAGTACAGTAGTTAGGCTAGCTTGGTAATTGTGAAACTTGAGAATAACCTTTAGTGAACACGGGCTGGCACTGACTACTCGTGTAAACCTAGGGAACCAACCCAAATGACTAATACCGGTATACAGTATCAGGATACATGACTTTTCCAACCAAACTTAACATCCCAGCTATGTAGCCTCCATGCATACTGTGCAGTATGGGTTTTTGCTGAGCACTATTGTTTAAGAACTTTTAATGATTCACTTAGATGAAATATACCAGTTAGTACCCATAAACTTTCGGTTGTCAAAACAAGTAGCAGCCATGAATGATAGTATTCATTAACTTACATTCTGTATTAGTCAATCAAAACAATTCATAACTTCAAGCTGTGCAGACAAGCTCGAGTTTTATATCACTTGGTTCATGTTAGGAGGCAAGTCAAAGGGATAGTCTGATTTATTTTTTTTATTTATTCATTTATTTATTTATTTTTTCATAAAAAATGAGACATCCATATTTTATCCAAATGGAATTAATTTCCAAGCTTGGGACACTGGCAGTTATTTCTTATCTCTTTAGATTGTAGATCAGATCACCTGCAGAGGATAATAATGATCAATGGCTGATTTTTTGGGGGGGGGGGGGCTCCCCCTACATCCTGTGCAAGGTGAAGCGCAGAAGCGTTTACAGCGCCCAAAAGGGAAGCATGCTAAGATCATGCTTGCCTTTATGTCTCATGAGTTAAGGGCGTAGAAGCCTGAAGAGTCAAGGGTGTAGAAGCCTGAAGAGTCATGGGTTTTTGTCAGTAAGTTATTGGAAGCTCCAACAACTTTCCCTGAATACGAATTCGCAACTTTCGATTTACAACAGGTACCTACTTTACTGCTAGGTGAACAGGGACCAAGGAGGGTAAGGAAGTGTGTCCAAACAACTTTCCACCGGCCCGTGAATCGAATCTGTGACATCTCGCTTGCGAGACAAGTGGTACCGTTCTACCACCGGCTCCCCCAATGGCTGAGCTGATTGTAATTGAGATCAAGTAAAGTACTGTATAGGTATTAGGATGTGTATACTGTAGATGATATATGAATAGCATAGTCCAGTCTGAGTACCAAGGTGACTACAAATGAACTTTCTGATGCAATATAAAGTATTATGAGGAAAAAAATAGAGTTACAGTGAAAAGATGTTTTATTTCAAGGTAGCTACAGGATATGAAGTTCAATATGAGCTACTTTGTGGCTCTGCAGATATCAAAGTGGCACAATATTCTGAATCTCTCCCTACTTTTGTAGAATAGCATATCCTTTCATTCAGATTTTTCATAGATTGCTGGCATTGATGGTACAAAAACTTAGTTTTTGACATAGTCCCAAAGGAAAAGGTCAGGGAGCTTAGATCAAGCAAACGAGCCAGCCTAAAAATGGGCACTCCACACCAGAAGAAAGTATTAACTTAATATTGAATTAAGTTTTCTTTGAAAATTCATTATTAGTATATCATACTTTTCACCCATTTGTGTGTGTGTGTGTAAAATCAGGAGGTTCAATTATCACCTGGTATTGTGTAGGAATACTCCAGTACTGTATATTCCCAATCCTATTCTAAATATTGATTTCTGGGTGTTGTTTTTACCCTGATAAGTTTATGTTCAAAAGCTCAACTTTTTTCTGAGCCAAGACAACGATGTAGATATGTCTTTTGTATTACAGTAATGTACACCTGTATATGGGTTACGAACGAGTTCTGTTTCTGAGGTCGTCCTTAAGTCGGAAATGTACATAAGTCGGAGCACATACACAATGTACACTATATCACAGCCCAAGTCCTTTTATACATTTCAAATCACATAATTTCAGAGAAAGGAAGAAATTTAATGACAAAATTGAGTAAAGAAAGGTAAAAATTAAAGTTTAACTTACATTGAAACCTGGGACTGGCTTGCATGTAGAGATGGACATTTGTAGGAGTGACAGAGGCTTTATTGGGGTGCTTGAACTGAAACATTCTTCATTTTGTCATGTCTCTGTAGCATCGAAGATATTAAGTAATACATCTATGAATCTTGCTGTTCAAATTTAAACAATCCATCTTCAATAAGCCTGAAACCATCTGCTATTTCTTTTGTAACGAATTGCTTTGGTTCTGGAGTTTCTGTTTCCTCTACATCCTCTGACAAAATTTGCTTCTCCAGTTCACTCAGGTCCCCCATTGTTTAATTCTTCAGCATGAGACTCAAGCAACTGTGTGACATCATCCTTATGAATATGAAGTTGGAGCTGGTTCCCAAGTTCTACCACTGTTTGTGTCACTTCCGCAACATCACCATCAAAGCCCCTGAAATCGTGGACAAACTGTGGGCAGTGCTTTTTCCAAACACCATTTCCCCTTACCTTGAACCAATTAAACCAGCCCTTACTAGCAACAAGATTTTCACCACCACAATGGGGCTTTCAAGTCAGCATGCAAGCTTCTCTCTTTTTCCTGAATCAAGGCTAGACTTAGAGGCAAATGCCATTGATTTTAATCTTCCACCCATATCACTAACAATCTTTCCATTTCAATTAACAATCCACTTCTTTTTGTTATCACAGTTGAGTGCATTGGTGTAAATCCTTTTACATGTTCAAGAATTTTCTGTTTGTCTTTCAAAATTGTTCCGACCGTTGACTGACTGAAACCCAACGTTTACCATTGATTAAAAGTGTTTTGCCCTTTTCAGAACGTTAAATTACATCAACTTTCACTTCATTGTAATTGTTTTCCTTTTCTTGGATGCACTACTATCACATGCATCAGATTTGTGTTTGGTAGCCATAATGGGGGTAGAAATAGAGTTAATAAGCAAAAAAACAACAGTTTGCACTTGATCATTCATGTTAATGTGGTGAGGATAAAGTGTACTGACACTTCCCTCAAGGTGTGTGGCTGGGCGATACATCACTCCCCACCCGCTGCTCCACCTCGCTGCTATACCACGCAAACTAGCTCTTGTGCGTAAATACAGTGGTCCCTCGGTTAACGAAAACAATTCGTTCCACAGAGTCATTCGTTAACCTAACGAATCTATTATTTCAATGGGATATTGGGTAATTGGTTCCAACTCACAGAAAAAGTATACATACAAAGTACTGTATACCAGTAATAGAATTAACAAAACATTAAATATAAACTAAATACAGTACTGTACTTTACAGTACTGCATACTGTACAATAATAAATAAAAAGCAATAGAATACTGTATTTTAACTTACTTTGAGGTGTGTATGTCGTATTACCGGCAACTTTGTTTACATATCAAACAGCTGATTGTAGAGGCAGTTGATGATGATGCCATATTCTTTACAGAGTGCATTGGTTCTAATGCCTTCTTCATGTTTCATAATAATTTCAGCACTGTATATTATCAATATGTTAACTAAATTTCAGAATGACCAATAATTTTAATATAAAAATATGCAGAAATATTCAACAGACCAACTTTCTTGATATTTACTCCACTGGAAACGAATGTAAACATAGAACCAATTACTGTATTGGCGGACTAGCCAATCAGCTGATGCTCACAACAAAATGTGTTTGTCGTAAGGATTTCGTTAATCGAACTGAAAATCCTTATGGGAGCTAATTCGTTAACCGAACCGTTTGTTAACCTAGGGACCATTGTACTATGAACCAGTTGTACTTAAGCCGGACTTTTAAAATAATTTAACTTATGGGACCTCATTCGTATCGGCAGTTGTTCATAAGTCGAGGACCCCCTGTATACAGTAAAACCTTGCTAACGCGGATTAATTGAATTAGGGGAAGGGGTGTTCGGGATACAAGGTCCACCTTAGAGTAAAAAAAACGAGTGTGACACCAATGTATCCAATTTTTATGAAAGAAAGGCATTTTTTTAATAAAAATTAATTAAAAATTAATGTACACAAAGTACATACACTACCTCTCCAAGTCCTTATTCTCATACTGCTAGATTTTTTTCTGGTCCACATTAAATTTCATGGCATATTTGTGCGACTTATCTTTTGATTTTCATATATCCGACACCTACTGCTATGAAATTCCGTTTTCAGCGCATATTTGTTTGAGAGTAGCACATTCTTCTAGTTTTTCAATCACCTTTAACTTTTCGTTCACCGATAAAGTCTTAGCCTTAACCTTCTCACCACTCTACGGACACCAAACACTTTCTTAGGGGCCATGGTTATTGTCTAATTTTCCAATATAAATGCAAAAAATATGAATGCTACTTCAGTCTACAACATAATCACACTACTGGCAATGCCAAATAAGTTAGACAATAAAGTTCGGCGCGTCTAAATGGCAATAAAACACGATCGACGGAGTGAGAGAGTGGAAGAGATGCTATCACGAGCGTTGCTAATTTATGACTGAGCGCGTCCCTTTGTTTACTGGCATGAGTGAATCATGCAGTCTGTCCACCTTGGTCCCTTGAAATTTTGGCTCAAGGCAGACATGCCATCTTATGGCAAATTTTTTCATATTTTTTTTTGTGTTGGGGGTTTGTCTGGCTTATGCGATATCCGGCTCGGCGGGTTCTGCCGAGGCTGTTGGAGTCTTTTGTAATTAATAGATACTGTATTGATACTTTCAAAACATTCAAGTCAGCTAATAAAACTTCAGCATAGAGGTCAAAATGTTTTGAAAATATTATAAGATATAAATCTATTTGAATACAGTACGTGTGTTAAGGTGTAACTTAAGAATGATTAGAAAAAAGATACAGTATGGCATTAATCTTAGACAAATGCTGTGTTAAGTTAGTACTACACCTGCCATCTGTTATAATCCCTGGCTGGATTATGATTACCATAAATGAACGGACAGTACAGTACTGTAGTATGAAATTATGGTATACAATTTGTATGTTGACTTGCTGGTGGTAGCACAAAAAAAATTTCCACTGGTGAACATCAGGACTTTCTTGAGCTTGTGATACTTTACTCATAAAATAGTTTTTAAGAATTGGGTTTTGAAAAGGATATTAACTTTTTCATTTATTGTGTTTTTACGTGAAAAATCTGTTTGTATCGTGCTTGAAACTTTTGGCTACTTATTAGAGAAATATCTTATTCTTCTGTTAAATATTTCAGCGGACATCATTTCTTGTGTGGAGTTTAATCACGATGGAGACCTGCTGGCCACTGGAGATAAAGGTGGCAGAGTTGTCATCTTCCAGCGTGATCCCTCGGTGAGTTTTTTATCTTTCTATATTAATGTTGTTTGTTGTAGATTGGGCCTGAAAATTAGCTTTGCTTTCTCTTGTCCAGTTTTCTAGGTCAGACTTCCTTTAAAAGTCATTCGTAAATCCTTTTTTCTTTATATTCCTTTAATTTGTTCTTTATTCTCTCCCCTGTCTTCCCCTTCTGATTTAGTACCATTATCTGCATTTCATTGTCCCAGGTACCACAATATACTGTACTGGACATTTTGTTGCACAGGTAACAAGCAAGATTTACAGGGAAAAAAATAAAATCATTGAACTTGACAAGAACATAAACTGGTACATTACTCTTAAACACATATAAATACAAGTTCCTCTATAAATGAATAACTTCTCCATCTTACATATAGTGTTAATGTGGTATCCTTTTGAAAGTAGTTTTGTCACTTTCAATACTGTAGAAATTCCCAAGACAAAAACTGGAAGGGTCTCCCATCTATTCATTTAGGATACAGTATATGAAATAAACCACACACACATTCTCCTTTTTGGGTTTGTAATATTGATAACAACATAGTGGAGATTAACCAGTTTATGGCATGTTGCTACAGTATTATAATGTTTTGTTTGACAAAATGACTGCATCATGCTAGGTTTTGTGCCTGTCTAGAGAAATTATACTTATTTGTCTTTTAACCACCATGTTTAATCAGTAAGATAAGTGATTATCTGAGATGAGCAGAGAAATTGCTTGAAAGTACTGAAAAGTGGTGCCTCAGTAGGTACCTGATAGTACATGAAATTCCACTTGTAAGGCTACACGAGTCTCTTATTTTTTCTAAGTACAGGTACAGTATTGAAAGATTTAAATAAATATAATTTTATGCATAAACACAATAAATGGTAGCATTGCTCTATAAATTATGTATGCTAGTAATTAACTTTAATTACACAGGTTATTTCACCTTGGAAGCTTATATGATTTACATGCAATGGTATCCTTGACCCTCTTGAGTGTCTGAATGACTTTAATGGACTTTATTCTTCTCGATTAAAGTGACTGTTCTTCGGAGGCCCCCTTGTATAGGTTAAAAGCGCATTGGAGAATCCTTTGTGGGGTCTTCAGGCTAGCCAGCTCTGAGTTGGGATGATCAATGAGGACCAGACTGGGGCTGAAGCCAAGCTTCCAGCTTTGGAGCAAATGCCATTGTAAAGTCACAAAGCTGAAGAAATCCACAGCCAGCTGTTTAAAGTCATGAAGCTGAAGCCATATAAAATGTCATCCTGATGATATTCTAAGTAATAGTAAAAAATCTGAGTAAAGGTAAAATATTAGTTATTTTATCATAAGATTTTAATAAGAGAACATTATAAGTATAGTATTATACAGGAGTACAGTAACACTAGCATTAAAAAACTATGTTATAACTATTATATAGGAACACTTATTAACACAGCCATAAAAATGAAGATTATAAAAAGATCACCATCCTGTACTGTACATAGCCACTGGACAGTCTGAGTCTATTGGCCTTGAGAAACATTAATATAAAAAACTGAGAGGCTCTTGTCCTAATTTTCACTTTAACTGGGGGTTTTGTCCCACCCATTTTGGCTCCCTATGGACTGATAAGGTCATTATTTATTATCATTTATTTCATTCATTTGTTTTATGCATTATTCATTGTAATTCATTTTATTCATTTACTTCATTCATTCATATATTTTATTCATTACTCAAAACAAATCAGTAATGCAAAAAATGTACTAAATATACATCACATATAAACAGTAATATACTGTCTCAAATCACGGAGGAACAATAAGTAATATACGGTCTCAAATCATAGAAGCATTGCAGCAAATCATCATAAAGATTTTCAAAAGTACTGTACAGTTAGTTAGCCAACAGCTTCTTGGGCTGAGAAGGCAGAGGTCATGTCATTATAGGAAGAAACCAATAGAAGGGGGGAATCAGTTAGGATGTCACTGAGGCTGTAGCATGCACATGAACTTCAACGGGTCAGATCATTGTGTAAACAGAAAAGTCAAGGATCAGCTTAGCTGTAACTTCACAATATGGTCAGTGTGTCTGTGTAAAGAAGAAAATCTGAAGCCAGGCCTGTGGCTTTGAAGCTGGTGCCATGCCTATAGTTTCAAAACCAAAACCACATCCAGAAACTGAAGCCAGCTTCAGCCCCATGTCTAATAATTACAGTTAAATCTTTGGCCTGTTTCGTAATCCCACCAACTTTGAGTTAACCCTCAAAATATAATGACCACATTCATTGTAGGCTTCATCCAATCTTAAAAATTGTCTTGGTGTTTTCATTTGTTAAGGAAGCTTATTGCTTTTCTTATTCTTGCAACAGGTATATTAATATGCCCTAATTGAATGAAACCATTGAATACATTACACTGAAAAATTGGGGAAGGGATTTCATTATTGAGAATGAACCAGAAAGCTCGGTTGACCTTTTTTGTTTCATAACTTAGATACTGTATGTAATCATATTAAGTTTCTATCCACATAGGATGTTGTCTTTTGTGCTACTTTCACTCAAAAGTTTGTGGTAAGATTCTTTACTGTATTTTAGATGAGTGTAATTCAACTACAATTATGTTTTCCTTAGAAGAATAGACCTCACAAAGGAATGGGAAGCAGCTTTACTGATTCTCCATCATAGTATATTAGGAGTGACGAAGACACTTTTGTGCCAGTAATGCTGGGTCATTGCAAAGTTTAATGTAGAGGTAGACTCAAATGATTCAGGCATATGGAGAGAACAGTTGGATCAAGAGATGCAAGAGCATGAATATAGAGGGTAGGAGAGATGTGGGTAGGACACAAATGATATAGGGAGAGGCTGTGAGAAATTATGCAAGAGATGGGCAGCCTGGAACTTGGAAATGGTTGTAAAATGTTGAAGATGTGTGAATTGTTTTGTTATTTAATGTGATATTGTAATCACTCGTAGGAGCAATTGTGGCTGTGCAGGACAATAAGACCCTCGTCGTTAACCCGATGAGTAGAATTTGGTAAAAACCTGTTGAATACATTACACATATAACAACTGCTGATACATCAAGAGACACAGTTTGAATAATACGATCAATATACAGAACATAGCCTGTTAAATATAACTCGCATGTAACAACTGCTGATACGTCAGGACACAGTTTGAATAATATGATCAATATACAGTACATAAATACACTTATTAAAGGTATTTAGAGTTCTCAGAGGATTCAACAGTTCACACTCACGTTTTGGGGTCTAGGGTTAGACCAACGAGAACAAATATAATGTCCTGCAGGAAGATGTTGGCTGACGAGAATCAAGATGTTGCCTCTACAGTAGAAGGCGATTGTCTGCCCCTCAGGTGGTCACACAGCTGCTACCAGCTCCATCTTGCTTAGTAAGCTATTCTGAGTTGTAAACAGTCTCTTCACTTACCATGTGGCCGGCATTGTGCGTGGCGATAACAGATATCGATATATCACGCAGCTGTTTGGTCATGGGAATTTATTTAATGTCCTGGAGAAGTCAGGAAAATTGGAAGTAGTGAAGTTTATGAACCATTAACAAACTGTTTTATTAAGGCTACAAATAAGAAGACTAATGTGTTGCATGGATGGGGTATTTGAATGCATTCAAATACTGTACAGCATTGCAGAGTATTCATATTCATTACTATTAGAAATCTAAGTACAGTACTGTATTTACATTCCTATTTGAATCCTCAGGCAAAGTATTCGTATTTGTAGGATAATCTGACGAATAATAATTGTTTTATTTATAAAAATAACCATACACTTGGCTGCTGAATTTCTTTTGATGTACTATCAGTGACCCAAGTCACCCAATAAGCTATATACAGTATCATACATTGAAATTAAATACTGTACTTAAACAGACTGTTAGTAAATAACATGCAACTCAACAGTCATCACTGTGGTGAGTAGGCTACTGGTGACGAGTTCGTATCATGTGTTGTGTATGCCCAAATGATACCAAATTACAACTTAAAGTTATTGTGTTTGGACAACAATTTCTGACTCCTATTTGAAATTTGATTAAAATTTAATATAATATATATCATAGTCATTATTTTTTAGCAAGTGGAAAGAAAACAATGTTTTGTGTACCTGACTTAGAACAGGGATACGTACATTCCTGGACCCTGATTGTAACTCGATTTGTTCATAAATCAGAACAGTGTTACTTCCATAGTTTAGGTTAGGTTAAAGCACAACCCTGCCCATGCAAGACAACAAAATCATCCCATATATAACAAATAATGTAAATGCTGTAAATAAAGTCATGTTAAATAATATAGAATATTGAAAAATAATGCAAAATTTGGGATTTTAATTGCAAGTTTTTGTGATGAATGTATTGGGATCCCTTTCATAAGTGCGAGTGTTCGTAAGTCGGACAGTCGTAACTCGGGTACCGCTAAATGGCAGTATCAATGCCTCCCTGCAGCCTCTCTAGAAGTTACAACAACAGTTTGTCTCGCTGTCAGTGGGAAAGTATGTAGGATTTAAATTATCTTTCTTCATTCATAAAATTAAAAGAACATCTGAGGCTTTCATTGAGCTCTTACAAGTGATGATAATGCCTGAGTGCTTGTGCATGGATAATCATATTACCATTTTAAATAATTTTTTTCTTTTATGTTTATAATTTTGAGTAAACTGGGATTTTTTTTCCCTCCATTATACTGTTGGTCAGAAAATCAAACATGTCATCTAAACAGTTGTCAGTAGTGTATGATAGTACAGTACATATAGAACCATTACTTATGTGTTTCCTTGCAATATTTGATTTTAATCTTTTGTCATTATTTTTATTTCGGCGACATATGACCTAAGCTGTTGCGTTGCCAGGGATATAATTACCACAATCACTCAATTTTAAAGTAACAAGAAGTTGGTTATTTAACCTATAGTATTCATGAATACTTTCATAAAGTATTTGGAGTGACACTGTTTATTTGTATTCTTAGAAATTAAAAGTACTGGACAGGTTATTCGCATTTGCATTCGAAAACTGAACTCTTGTATTTACTCCATCCCTGATGTGTTGTTTCTTCATCAACAGTCGAAAAACTGCCATCCTCGGCGAGGCGAGTACAACGTCTACAGCACCTTCCAGAGTCATGAACCAGAGTTTGACTATCTTAAATCTTTAGAAATTGAGGAAAAAATCAACAAAATTAGATGGCTCAAGAGGAAAAACCCTGCACACTTTTTACTCTCTACTAATGGTAAGAACCATGTTAAGTTTCCTTATGATATAGAACCATTAATATTAAAAAGTAGCCATGGCTGTTTATTTTCAATTCGGAACTACAGTACAGGTCTATACCTTATATCACTGACCTAGTGTGTCTGTTTGTATCTGTTCTCTCGAATCATGTTATGTGTGTACCGGGTAATCAAATATATGTTAACTTATCCTGCATCATAATGCATTGCCCTTTTTTTTTACTTGTTACTAGCAATTTTTCATTATTTACAGATAAAACAATAAAGTTATGGAAGGTGTCAGAACGTGATAAACGAGCTGAAGGTTACAACCTGCGTGATGAGTCCGGCCAGATCAGGGACCCAACTTCACTTACGACTTTACGGGTAACAAAATTTCTGACCATGTGCTCTCTTAATTCTTTCTCTTCTCTTTTCTGACAACAAAAAAGAATTAAGAAAATAATAATTTTGTGTATATTTGTTTTAGTGTAAGCTGCTGCTGTATGAAAGATAGTTGTTTTCTCCTCTCTAGAATTTATTTTTTATTTTTTAGGTGCCTGTATTAAAGCCAATGGAACTGATGGTTGAAGCCTCACCTAGGAGAATCTTTGCCAATGCACATACATACCACATCAACTCAATTTCCATCAATTCAGACCAGGAAACCTACTTGTCAGCTGATGACCTCCGTATCAATCTTTGGCACATGGAGGTCACTGACCAGGTGAGTCATCAAAGATTATAATGAACTTGCAAATTTGTCTACTGCATTCTTGCTCATTGGTGCTAAATTTCTCGTTACAACTCAGGGTTAGCCAGGATTATGAAACCTTTATTCTCATTTGGGAAATTTTTATCATTTGCTTTTAGTCGTATCCTGTGTTGCCTTTCAACCAAGTGTGGTTTATCTAGTTTAATACACTTTAAACTGTACTTGAATGAATAAAGAATTACTCTGGATATAGTACAGTTAATTGATATTAAAGGTAAATTAGAAAAGAAAAGAATTCAATCAACTTTATTATTTTAAAAGGAAATTATACATGAACATTTTATTTGTAATGGTTTAGGGAAAATGACAAGGTCTACCTAAATAACTGATTATCCAAAGCAGACTCCTTTGGTTGGCCATTTTGTTTTATCGTGTCTCGAGTCCTTTCTACCGAAAATGCTACCCAAATTTAATAGCTAACATATTTGGATCTACAAGATGCCTTTATTTCATCCAGCTGTGGTCAGATGTCCTGACCAGGTTAGGTTTAGTTAAAAAAATCTTATGGCTATTTTGAGCACATCAATAATTAAGATAGTAGTGAGCCATAGTACATAGCAGCTTCTTATTTTTAAAGTAGCTTAATTGCCATCTATTTTTCCTGGATACACACTTTTATTTCCATATAGCAAAAGAATGGCAGTTACCATACCTCATGTCTTAAACTTTTAATTCAATGTGTGTGTTCTCTGCACCCTTGTTGGGCGGAGGAACCCCAGCCTTTTAGTATCCCTCTAATCTCTCTTATTTAAAACTAGATTAGAAATTCTACTTAGCTTTACTCAACCAAGATTTTGTAAGTAGCATATGGTTACTGTTACAGTCCTTCAACATCGTAGACATCAAGCCAACAAACATGGAAGAGCTGACGGAAGTGATTACTGCAGCTGAGTTCCACCCACATGATTGCAATGTGTTTGTTTACTCCAGCAGTAAGGGAACCATTCGGTTGTGTGACATGCGGCAAGCTGCCCTCTGTGATAGTCACTCTAAGTGTAAGTATTTTTGGTTTACTTTAGTTTAACTTTAATAGTATGGGGGGCAAATTTGCGGATTTTTATTTTGCGGTTCTCTATTATTTGTGGATGGCAACCTGGATGTACCCAAAAATTTCTGCTGGTAGTTTTAAAGTTGCCGGCATTTTGCGGCTGGGACAGGGAGCCATTCGTTCTCGAGACAGTAATTTCCTTTACCTGTATTGTAAGTATGTGTGTGTGGGTAGACACAAAACACATACTGTACAAATAAATAATAATGGAAAAACCCTCTCACAAGTAATCAGAAACAAATTTATTACAAATGTGACAGTCTACCCTCAAGTCCGAGCTTTATTAATAAAGTAATAAAACACGGACTTGAGGGTAGACTCAAATTTTTAATAAATTTGTTTCTGATTATTTGTGACAGTATTATCCCATCATTATTTATTTGTATGTGTTTTGTGTGTGCGTGTGTATGCACACATACAATACAGGTAAATGAAATAATTGTCCTAGGGGCAAACACAAAGGGAACGTAAATTTCTTTGTATACAAGCAACACCCCCCCGCCCCTGTTCAGCAAACGTTATTCATGAATTTGGAGATTCGCGGCCATTTTGAGAACCTAACCCCCATGAATTTGGAGGGCCTACTGTATTAATAAGTTGAGTTATCACTGATGAGTTTTACTGTCATGTTCCATGCTTGTGTGGGTTAGCAGTCATTTTTCCATTCTAATCTTCTGGTTTAGCCAAGAGGATAAAGCACTTGTGTGTGTATTATAATTTTGTAAAATCAATTACTCAAAAGTTTTCAGTGAAATTTTAGAAATCTTGTTACAGTGGTGTAGTCTCGTTCAAGATTCTTCAAACACTGATGGAGACAGCTGGCAACTCGAGGCTGTTTGTTGACTATAGTATGTAGTAAAAATTATGAAGGAATGTAAAAGCCCAACCATTAATTAAGCAACAGGGAACTAAGTAACCAATCACCTATCACTTTTACATTCATTCATAATTTTTACTACATACTATAGTAAACAAACTGCCTCGAGTTGCCAGCTGCCTCCAGCAGTGTTTGAAGAATCTTGAACTAGACTGCACATGGATTGTTGAATCACAGGTGCCAAGATGGCTCTCCTGAAAGGAGCTTTGGCAGACTGTTTGATAAGCAGCAACTGGGGAGTATGTCATCTTATGATGACTTTCAATCTATACCAGTTCTCTTCAAAGGAGATGTTTGTAGCTTCTTGGCCACTGTACTTTTCATTGATATTAAACTTCACAAATGTAAATGTAAATTTGGAGAAGTTACAATGATATTTAATTTTGTTGCTAATATTTCAGTGTTTATCATGTATTATCCCAGTTGAAACATTATCTCTTAGTACAACGGTTCCCAACTTTTTTAAGCTGTGTACCAGTGCTATGTCTCTTCACCGCCTTGTGTATCATCTGACATCTAAAACAAGATGTATAAAACTCCACAACATGTATCAACCAGCTGAGAACCACTGCACATAGTACACTGTCCAGAGATTAAGGTCACAGCAATTTCCAGAGTTGAGAGAAATAATGAATAAGAATGATCAGTTCAAGTAAATTACCGGGTATATATCTTAAGCTGTAAGTACATGCTATTGAGTTAAGGTTATGGACTTAATGTTATTAGAAATTGTTAGCTGCTGGAAAACTTTTATATTTTATTTTACTGTAGTAATTGTAGAATTGATATTAGGAAAGTCTACCTCTCAGGAAAATGCATTTAAAATGTCTCCCAACATCTACCCCTGACCCTAATGGTTTTGTACCTTTTTGTAGCTGTGTTACCGACTCCAAATCTTGTTGTCAACCTTAATTATGTGTATCTTCTGTTTCATAAATTCAAGTATGACTAAATATACTTTGTTACATTTTCAGTGTTTGAGGAGCCTGAGGATCCCACGAATCGTAGCTTCTTCAGTGAAATAATCTCCTCTATTAGTGATGTAAAATTCTCTAACAGTGGTCGCTACATGATTTCTCGGGACTATCTCTCTGTCAAAGTATGGGATCTACACATGGAGACCAAGCCTATAGAAACTTACCCGGTAATATGACATGTATATGTTGAAATGCTTCAGTTCTTAAACATTAGAGAAAACAATAATTTTAGGGTATACATTATAAGAAAAGAATGAGGACAGTGATATTGAAGTGTGGAAATAGTCTCTCCTCGACTTACGACGGGGTTCCGTCCCGACGACCAGGTAGTAAGTCGAAAAGGCAAAAATAATACAGCTCCTCCCTGACTTACGATGGGGTTAGGGACCCAAATCCAGGTTGTAAGTCGAAAATGCTTAAATAATACATAGAAAATCTAAAATGGGTGTCTCTTTTTCTTCTCAGCATCACAAAATTCTCACTTTTAAGCTTGCTGGCCATTTTAAAGTGAATTACAAACAAAAATTTTTTTTTAGTACACAGCGCAATCACTGACTTCGGGACTCAAAAATACGTAATTTGACAAAATTTTGGTACGACTGAGGTGGTCGTAAGTCGAGTAGGTCATAAGTCGGGGAGGAGCTGTACATAGAAATTCTAAAATGGGTGTCTTTCTTCTCAGCACCACGAGAACTCTCACTTTTACGCTTGCCAGCCATTTTAAAGGAAATTACAAACAAATTTTGTCAGTACACAGCACGACCACTAACGTCAGGACTCGAAAGTACGTAATGTGAAAAATATTTTATATGGCCGTTGCATGTCCAGGTTGTCGTAAGTCGAGGAGAGACTGTATAGAAGTAATGTGTGTGTGTGAATGACTTGGTAAGTAATTTTTTTTTTATTAGGGTTCTTATTATCTTGACTTTTCATATTACTGTCTACCTCTTGATTCGTTCAATGCAAGAGTGGAAGAAGTGTCAAGATAGATAAATTCTTGCACAGAGTTGGTATTTATATGAACCTGATCAAGAGCTGGCAATAGAATACTCTACATAAAAACTTTTTCAATGCTGCCATGTGTGATTAAAACCCACCTACTTACTGTATTTGGTATCTTAACGAGTATTATGCCCAATGCTGTTTGAGGTAGACATGCCTCTGATAGTTGATACTAGGTTGTGTGAAGTAGTAGGTTAACTGGGTGGGAATCTTAAGAGGTGTGTTGTGGAAGGGGAACACCATTATTGCAACATTTAAGAGAATGGATGATAGCAAATGGTGGGAGAAGTATATTTTCTCTTCATTCAAGCCACTGAGTGCCATGTTGTTTCATGTGAGAAATTCAGGATGATGTACAAATTCAGAATTAATAAATTATCTTCTATTACAGGTGCACGAATATCTTCGCTCGAAGCTGTGCTCGCTCTATGAGAATGATTGTATATTTGACAAATTTGAATGCTGTTGGAGCGGAAATGACTCTGCCATCATGACTGGTTCATATAACAACTTCTTCCGCATGTTTGATAGAACATCCAAGCGTGATGTCACACTAGAGGCCTCGAGGGAAACTGCTAAGCCTAGATATTTACTAAAACCAAGAAAGGTAAGTTAGATATTCACCAGCAGAAAAACACTATAGCATTTATAATAATGCTAATGATATACAGTAAGTAATATTTTTATGCATCATGGAATGTTCTTCACTATTGTGCAAACCCCAGGCAGGGGTGGATCTGGGGGATGGGGGTCCTTGTGGGTCTAGACCCCCCCACCCCCCAATACTTTTCTTTAATGTAGTATTGTATTCAGGCATTTTTGTATAGTAAAAAGTAATTATTATTTACTTCAATATTTCCTAATGTCAAGTACACATGGCTTCAAAATGCCTATGATATTGGTGGTCAGAATGAAAAAAAATTCTGGTTGCTTAGACCCCTCCTCCTCCCCAAGCTTGGGTGGATTCACTGCGCTCACCATGTCCCCCCCCCCCAATATTTTTGGATCTGCCCTTGCAAAGTCATACATTTAGTAGCAATTCTTAAACAGGTAATTTTGAGTGAGGTTGCAAACTTGACCAAAAAATGCTGCAGAGGTTAATGTGTTCTGAAAAGGAATTAGCACTGCAAGGACACTGTAATCATGATAGTGTCAGCATAGATAAGGCATATTCAGAAATTGTAGGTTCACTGAATGATAATTATTTTGCAGGTGTGCACTGCCGGCAAGAGAAAGAAGGATGAGATAAGTGTAGACTGCCTTGATTTCAATAAGAAGATTCTCCACACAGCTTGGCATCCACATGAAAATATCATAGCTGTTGCTGCAACTAACAACCTTTACATATTCCAAGACAAATTTTAGCGATCCTCCTTTGATGACTAGAGCTTAGGTAAGTGCCTGTATTTTCATTCTCGATTATAGAATACTGCTGCAGCTTGGAGTAAATTTGTCATGCAGTGTATGCACAATTTAAAAAAAATTCTTAAAAAAAATGTTATCTTGTAGAAATAAAGATATGTACAGTATGTAGACAATGGGAAATAAAATAATAAATAATTTACCGGAAATTAATTTGGCTAGGCCATGGTGAAGGGCTGAAAGTTGTTTTTGTGTAGGCTCTGGGAAACTGAAGTATGTAGGGTTGCAAAAGGAGGGGGGGTTGCTTTGGTGTAGCAATGGGTTTGTAAACATGGGTGAGGTAGCAGACTTATTCACTAGCACCTTCCCTTTTACTATAGTTTGACACGTCTTGATACTCAATTTCATTTGCTCACCTTTTGTACCACATGAAGTGGATGACTCTGGATCACTAGGAGATGAAGACGAACATAATACAGGACCTACTCGACTTACGACCACCCGGACATACGACTGCCGCAGTCGTATATATTTTTCAAATTACGTATTTTCGTGTCCCGACATTAGTGATCGCGCTGTGTACTGACAAATTGTTTTTTTTTTTTTTTGTAATTCCCTTTAAAATGGCTGGCAAGCGTAAAAGTGAGAGTTCTCGTGGTGCTGAGAAGAAAAAGACACCCATTTTAGATTTTCCATGCATTATTTTCGACTTACGACCTGGTTGTCAGTCCCTAATCCCATCGTAAGTCGAGGACTGACTGTATATACTTCCTCTTTGACAATTAACTGTGTGTGTGTGTGTACTGAGGCATGGCTAGGATTATGGGGCAGTCTGTAAATGCGTCACTTGGCAAGCACTTGAAGATTGGTGCTAAAATTTTGGCAGCTTGTGGGATGTAGCAACTATAGAGGTTAGTGAAAAAACAAGGTATTTTTATAGATGTAGATTCATCAGAGCAATGACAATACAATTCTCTGGCAACTTCTTCTGTGCATAAAAAAATTAGGTCATTAAATTTTAAAATTTACCTAATAGAAATGTTAATACAGTAAACCCTCGAAAGTCTGTATTTCGGGTTGTCGGGACCCTTTCAGGACAAGAAGCATTTGTCCAAACCCTTAAATATTTGTTGTTTGAAATTCCTGGCACGCGCAGTCATTTGAAATTTCCGCCAACAAGCAATCCCTGGCCTCTTTCCCCCTAAAAACCTGTTAGTGAGCAGTTTATTCCTTCACTCTTAGAATGGACTCGCCCATTATGCTGCACTGTGGTTGGTTAACTATATGTTTTAACACATTCAGTCACAGAAAAATGGTAATATTTTATGTAAAATAATTCAAACAATATGGAATCCTCCTGGGAAGAGAGCAGAAATAGAGCGCACATTATGTCACTCACACATACGTACATCTGGCCTAGTCAATCAGTCTTCATTATTTTTAAGTCAAATTGCAAATTATATTTCATGTTTTTTCATTTATTTAAGATATTATTAATGATGAAACATACACCACAAGGGGCTGATCATATGAGAATACGTAAACACAAACATGAACACAGCAACAAATATCCCCACCCGTACCGCTGACAGTGAAGAGATTACCTTCTGATTCAGATTTATTTTATTTGAAGACAAATTATATTTTGTATTCTCTTCCAATTAATACTGTATGTTATATTATTTATGATGAAACATAAACCATAATAGGCTGATCATACAAGAATACTGTACAGTATAATAATTAACAAGTAAAAAAAATTGCAATCGTGACAATGGTCACTGGCCAGTCTACCCCTTCCCCATCAAGTGTCATCTCGTACCTATAAGCTCATGTTAGGCCTATATCAAATCTGATTAGATCACTGTACAGTTTCCCCATTAAAGATAATACAGTATACAGTGTTTTTTAATAATAAATAAGTAATATATTTTAAACAAATAAATTATTTTTTAATGTACAGGTATACCATTGCATTTATGGAGATGTATTCCTGATGACATATGTGAAGGGTACAGGTACTAATAAAGACAGATTATTACAGTAACGTATTTTTACTAATAACTGAATAACAAATAAACAGTATTGTATCGGGAATGACAGTCGTTTGATGAACGAGTGTGAGACACAGTCCGTGGGAGTAGATATCATACAGCTCTGTTCTGGCTGAAGCTGATCCATCTCTGCATCACTGAAATTATGATTTAGGTGGTGATAATAGAAGTAGTGGTGATTATGGGGGTGGTGGTGAGTGTCTATCCATTTCTTTGGTAACACTTCACCTGCAGTGTAAGGACAATATAAATGAGCAATGTTGTTATCCCTTCAACATTTTACATAACATTTTAAGATATGGAGTGAGAGTAGAAAGGTGTAGGTAATTAGAGAGGTGGAGTGCAAAGGAGTGTTGGCAAGCGCTCCTCAACAGCTGATCTTTAACTCGTCACCACGCAGTCACACACTTGTGTATCAGGGTATGTGGGTGGTGTTGTTGGGTGCGTATTTGTGAGGGTGTATTGATGGACTTTTCTTCAATCTAAGTTTATGCACTTTTATATGCTACTATGAGATTTTTTATGGTAAATTCCCTGAAACATTCTCAAAACCATAGTGAGACATCATATTATAATTTTTTCCCATTTTGATGGGGTGCTTAGGCTTGGTACCAGTACTGTTAGTGGTTGACAGGTAAGTGTCTTCCATGTTGTAAAACAAAGCACTGACTGAGATGGGAAGAAACTACCCTCTTGGTGCCACCCAGCTGACCACAGTGCATCACCTGGAGTGACATCATACTGCATGGACTTTAAATTGTGGCACAAAGCTTAAAATGCCAATTTATATGGTTTGCAGTGAAATGTGCAGCTTCAATTGACAGAGATAAGTTTAAGAGTTAATGAATAATCATTTTCTTTTCAAACAACTTTTAACAGCAGTTTGTTTGAAAAACAACCCTTTACTGTTTAGGTCGCGTGAGTCTTTAAATATCATAATGTTTATGACTTACATTCATTCACAACCAACCCAGGCATGGTTAATTTAGAATTAAGAGTAAAACACATTTTTAACTATCTGAATTCCATGTTGGAAGGAGAGGTGGGTCTATTTGTACAGTAAACTGTTTGAAATCATCTATAAATTTATGGTGTGAAAAAACCAAAGCATTCATGGTTGGACAATACCTCATATTTTTAGTCTTGCTAAACTATGCATGCAATGCAATGCAATAACCGACTTAGGGGCCAAAATTTATTTAATCTTTTTCAGGCCCTCCAGTTGGTGGATGTTTGGGCAGCGTTACTTGGTGGTGTAGAAGGAAGGTTCCTCAAGTGTGGCCTCTGCACCTCTTGTATGACCTGTCCAATAAGTTAACATCTGCTGCTTGAAGCCACACAACTCATGCTGGCCACTTTATCTTGGCATCCCCCAGATCACATTGTGGCTCCTGTGTGTTGGGTTGTTTCCAAGTCGATGGTGGTCCCAAGTGCCATGAGCCAGTGGTAACCAAATCGCCCAGGGCTGTTGCGCCCACTCATCAGTGCTGCCATCCCATAGGACATGTCCAGCAGCCTTCCCAGCAGCTGATTCCTGGATAATATGTGATTTCTGGAAAACCATGTGGGGTGCCCTACCCTTGTGATCATTTATCTGTGTTTCACCCTCAGATCATCTGTTGAGAAGTGTTGACATTAGTTGCCTTCTCTCAAGGCTATTAAAACATAATTTAAGAAATAATGGCTGACTAGGTGAATCCAGTGATGAATGGATAGGAGTTTGCCATGTTATTATCAATAGATTAGTGGCTTAAAATTAAAAATATGGACTGCAGAGCCCAAATTTCTTTCTCTGATGCCTGGCTTTCTGATGAATTTGAATGCGTCTTGTTGCCAAATCGAGCTGTGACCGGTGACACGAATAACTAAGGGAATGGGGCATGACAGTGCTAACCTCAGGGAATGATGTGACTGAGTTTCTGCTGCTTGAAAAGTATGATCTTAGAACCAACTATAACTGCCATGAGGCTTCAGTGCTACCATGCCCTGTAATCCCAGTTACCGAGTAAGTAGCATGAATGTTTCACAGGATTAAGTTGATGTGCTCATCGCTTCTACAAGACCACTTCCAGCTGCCAGAAAATGCGACATGATTACCAATTTTGAGCTTTCGTTGGTGCGTTTCAGTAAGACTATTTTCTTAACTAGAAAATGGGGCTTAATTGAATGTTCTCAAGGTTCACGATGGGTATTCTTGACGTAAATGTCTAGTGTGTGGCACAGCCGCACAAAGGTCCCCCTTCACCTAGCCTTTCTTTCTTTCTTTTTTTCCATTTTGAGATTCAGAAAATTTTTTGAAAGTGATTATTTCAAGTGTTAATGGTCTCAAACTGCTGTATACTTTTTTAATTAGTTCAGTGTAATAAATTATATTTCAATAGGCAAGCTGTGTTTTTATAAAATCAGAATTAAGAATTGCATATACCAAATGGGATTACTGTACTTAATTTTTCCATGGACAATTCATAATGGACATATTTGAACAGCTTTGTATTCACAGCTGTACAGTTGAACTACTAAACTGTAATTTTAAAATTTGTTGGGAAAATAAGTCGATGCTTCTCTGAGATTTTCAAAATGTAGCCACATCAAATATCCTGGGTCAGAAAATGTGAAATATGTTTTGCATAATCAGTCCTACTAATGACCCTTGAAACAGTGTGTTGTAAGTTTTGAATATCATTCTATCCTTCTACTATTATAGTCAAACTATTTAGTAATAATTTCCAAGAAAAATCCTTGTGGAGTTTTTAGGCTGTTAATCCCAGACAGTATGAGTTTTATGCATAATTTAATTTAATTAACTGTTATAAGCCATAAATAAATTTTTACACTTGCTGTTGGAATCAAACTGCTGAACTGTGGTTTCCAATTTCATTAAATTTTTATTTATTTATCTTTAAAATCAATACTTCTCGATCTGCTGATTGTGGATCCTTGGATCAAAAAATGTAAAATTCTGGTACATCTATCCTCTATATTCGCTGGGGTTAAGGACCAGAAAGGTACCATGATAAACAACTCCACGATAATTAAGTCGTGGGAAAAATAGGGATTTGTCTCAAGACCCCAAGCTGCTGCCCCCCATCCCCCTATGAAAATAGCTTTCTCATAGGCACAACAAAAACATCCTTCTGAATTCTCACCAATATGGTTGACAGACCTTGGGGATGCTCGGTATGTATTCATAATGTCTTCTTATACACTGAATGAATGGTGGACTCGATGCCATACTCATGGCCGACTGAGCAAAGCTGCTCGTCTCAGATTTTCTTTATCATATCAATCTTATCTTGAAGTAAATAACACTTCTTATGGTATTTACTGGGGTCTGGGGGAGTCTTCTCTTTCTGCACTGGTGGCATGATGCAACGATGTAATAAATGTCCGAAAAAATCTGTCAAAAACAGTCAAGCAGGCACAACCGATCAAGAAAACCGTCACAAACAATAAGAAACCCGAGAACCAGTGCAATGTAGGTAATGTCGCTGACCCGTGATAACGAAATATTGGGTCAATTTATTGAGGGTACTGTGTTACCCAAATCAGTGAATATCAAGGATAGATGTAAGTAGTCTTGTTAACTGATGAATTAATTTCACAAACTTCCAATTGCCCACTATTCTCAATCTGTAAATCTTGGATCTTTTTTCTCTCTCACGGTCTCTCCCAATTTAAACTCAAAGATCCTCTTGACTTTCGTTAAAGAAAAATTTTACAACCCCAAAAAGTCAACCTACGAGTAAAAATTTTACTTTTCTCTCTCTCTCTCTCGTTTCAAAACTGGTATTCTTTAAAACACTACTTAAGGATCATTCCTTTCATGTGTAGGTAAGGTCCTCTTACCATCAATAAAAACAGCCACCCCCTAAACTTCCTACAGCACTGATCATGTTAGTAACAAAACTCATCGACACAGTCCAGGGATATATCCCCAATGTTAAGTTTCTCTTAGCCTTGCTAAGGCCAGCAACATCCTGCAGTCTACCATCTCCACTGCACCTCTTGTGTACCCTCCTTCCACTCTCACTGCACATTATTGAATTGCTGTCAACACTGTTCTTAGACAGCACATGGCCATTTTCCACCAAGGTGTCCCTCACCTACACCTGTCATTTGTTTTTTGCCACATTCACTCATTGTCATCAACGTTTTACAGCTATTTTCCACACTTGTGTAGGTTAGCTGTGATTACCTGATGCCAGCTGTAGGGTAAAATCAGACTGGGTATGCCCCCTCCTCCCATTCACCACTGCAAACCCAGGGTGCCAGCCCTAAAAAATGCAGAGACCAGGGGATGTGCACAGCTTTTGGTAGCCCAGTTGCCATTAGGCATGTTGAAGCAAAGGCAAGGCAGTCAACTCCCTGAGGTGAATCTATTACATCCTTACATTTCTTAAATTTCCCCACTGCCTCTTCAATACTGTATTATGTTGCTATCAGCCCAGAGTCATCAGGGTACAACTCTCAGGACAGACCAGTCCTCAAGTCCCATGATATTACCTCTAACACCATGAGATAAACAAAAAGGGGCTCAAGACAGACACCTGGTAAACTCCTAGTTTCACTTCAAAAGTCCTCACAAATTTTACTCTCCACCATTTTTGAGCCCTTAATAATGCAGTAACCACCCAAACATGACCCTTAGCTTTCACATTGCCCACTTTACTACTTCACTTGATACCATGTCAAATACCCTCTTTAAATCTATAAATATGAGATAACTTTCCTTCCCTAGATATATTGCTCTTGTAACTGCCTGGCCAAAAATATTGCTTTTGGGGTCCCCCTACTGGGCCTGAACTTAAAACTTTTATAGCCTGATCTAACAGCTTCAGGCTCCTATAATTCCCACATACAAGTGCATCACCTTTACTCTTGTAAGTATTCATGACCACACTTTCCCACCAATTTTCTGAAACGGTACATTCCTTCATGATTGTAATAGTCAATTTGGTCACCATTGTCACCCCTTTATTGTCTGATGCTTTCAGCATTTCTGAGATTATTCCATATCTTTCAGTTGCCTTTCCATTCTTCATTTTATTAATCAATTTATTTCTTCATTTTCTTGCAACAACTTGGGCATGGTCCCTGAATTGTTTCTGCTGCCTGTCCCAATCATACTGCTCATTTTAATAATCAAACTTGGTATTTTCTCCAAGTGTCCTTGGTTTTGTCATTATCAATAATCACATTACAGTATTAACCTTTAAGCCCCGGTTTAGGGTGGTGCTGACAGTAAACACCCCCCGCCCCCCCAGTGGAGATAAATCTAGAAAAAATCAACCTTTAAAAAACAAAAACGGGAATAGGCGGACGTTCTAGAACGTCACCCGGGGCGCGCTGGTCGGACTTTCTGGAACGTCACCCGAGGCCTAAGGGTTAAGGCCATTTCTCTTGCACTACACACTTACAACATCCTTGTTTCTACTCAATACTTGCCACTTGTGTCCTTACTATTCAGTGTATCAGTACTGTAACAGTTATCTTCCTATCACTCACTAACTATAATATTCAGCATTTTATGTAATACAGTAGACCATCGATATAATGTGAGAGTGGAACACATTTTAACAAATTTTAACTCGCCTTGAGAGTGAACAGCTGCTTCATGGACTGAAGTTCAGACTCGGTAGAACTAAGGGTGTTGTGAATCATAAGTGAATTGTGTAGTTGTTGCTGACCGTGTTAGGTTTTTCATCAGGTGATTAATTGTGTTCATTTGATATTAAACCTTAAAAAACATATTTAGTGAAATATTAAAATTATTTAATGCTCCTCTAAGAAATGAAACACTTAATGGTCTACTACACCAAAGGACAAACTGGCTAAACAACTGACCAGTGGCAACCCACTTTTACTCACTGAAACACTGAAATCATTTCTAACCATTTTAACATTAAAACTCTTCAAGTCTGGACTGCAGATGTTTAGACTTGGCGATAGGCGGAGCAATAGAACTTGGGGTGATGTGAATTATATTTGATAGGTGTAGATGATGCACCAGTTCTATATTAATATCTAATGAGGGCAGGGGGAACTTTAAGTTTTCATTGGCTGCATTTGGTATTACAGTACAGTAAATCTTGAGAAAAAAAACATGATGCTTCTCTAAGAAATGAGGCACTAAAAATATATTTAAGTCTTCTTACACTAAAGATCACAGCTTAAAGTTAATGGAGTCAGATACAGAAAATTTTTAAGAGCTAACTTTGGAGTAAGAGTTGTAAACCATTATAATATCCTGCTGGAGAATGATGTGACAGTAAGAGTGTGGATTATTGTAATAACTTGCCAGAGAATGTCATGACCACTTCTTTAAGACGACTCGAATACTGGTGCATTCCAGAGCCCATACATGCCTAGCACTTGCCAATAGTGTGTAAAAGAAATGACCAACTGGCTAGAGAACTGACCTGTGACAAAGAATGTTAGTTTAAATGTGAAAATGGATGTGTTAGGTGTTTTGAAAAGAGGGAACAAGCTGTAGATAAGACTAAACTCATATGCTTGAGATAAACATAATTTCTGACTTTTTCACTTAAAAAAAAAAGTAACCTCAAAGCTTCTTATTGCTTTGAACCCTCTCTGACATTTTCCCAAAAAACTTAAATCCAAAAGGCTTTGTTCAAGTTTTGTGTTTTAAAGAGAAGTACAATACCATTTGTGAGAAAAATGTCATAAAAGTAACCACTAGGAATGTAACCCCAACTACAAAACAGACACGGTAATTTTGGTGCATTAACGGTGTGACTGAGATGCAGGTGATGGGGTTGGGTTCCTGAAAACCCCATCGCTATGTGATATATCAAAGACTGGGAGTACGGTATTATAGCATAGTGTTCAATGGGATACACTTCTTGCCAGGACACCCACATGTATCGCCAAAAATAAATTCTTACAATATTACTAGCTACAAAACAATTAAACAACACTCACCACATCATTATAAACACGTCTGGTCATCATCACATATCTCCTTTGAGGCTAAGGGGACTCTTAAGGTGGAGTGGAGACATCAATCAGCTCACTGGTTTAGAGGTTGAAAGTGTAGGACGTTGGTTGCAGTCTTTGTCTTTAGTTTAAAATATGGGTGAGTAAAATGATTGTGAGTTGTTTTCGTTACTGCTCATACAGTCACAAAACATGATAGTGCAATGATATGTTCATACCAGAGTCTGTAAGCAGTTTTAATTAGTTTGAAACCATTTATTATCTAAATAAATATAAATAGGTTTGTCTAATACACTGTAGTTTGGTTAAATAAATATATCAGTGCCTTCTAAAAATTTCTATATAGTGGGCATGTGAATTTCTTTAGCCATGACTGGAATTTTCATCTTGTTGGAAAGTTTTCCTGAGTCCTTCTTATATATATGGTGAACATTTGTGTTGTTTTTATTTACCACTGTGCATGTATAATTCAGTATGTTGTAATAATAATGCGTATGCTACTACTGTCATCTTGAGCCTACAGTAGATGTATCACTGTTATTTGAAAGTAATAAGTAGATTATCATTTTCGTCATAACACTTAGTGATTATTGGTTCTCATGTTGCTGGCCTAAACACAGTTGGGACTTCCATTGTATGTGCTCTTCTCTCTCTTGCGTAGGGTGTGAATCAGTTTCTTATATCTGCCTTCTGAAGCAATGTCGGTTAACCCTTTGAAGGGGGTATTTTTGAGCATGAGAGTGCTGGCAAAGTATATTTATGGATTGCAAAAAAGTTATGTATATTTATTTGAGCCTGCTCTTGTGATGGTAATGAATTTGGTTGCCGTTATGATCACCAGTAATTCTCTTGAGGGTTGTTCCAATAAAGGATATTATAAGAAAAATGTTTGATATTACTTTAGTGATTGGAGACTAAATTTTGTTTTGACTTTGTTAAGAAATGTTGATACCTGGGTCTTATAAAACTTAATTCTGCTAAGTTGAAGGCTTATTTTTTTTTACCCAAATAATACTGAATGGTTTATCCAAGTTTTGTTTGAAATAACTCAAGTATGTTAAAAAAAATATTATGATATATGGTATTTTATGCAAGGTATGAATTGGGCTTGATCACAGAAATCATTGAATTTTACTTGATGGCTTCACGTCTCACACAGACAAAGCTGTGTTATACAAAGAACTGTATCGTATAGTATATTGTCAAAACAAAATAATTATTTTCTCATTATCGAGATATAAGGTTCAGTCAACATGTGCGGCATGTTGGTTGATGTTGTTACTCAGCTGATGATTTCCTCATATAGTGAGGATGATGATGATGATGATGATGATTATATGTTTAGGTAGAAATTGTTTACATGTGTTTGGCGGATAAGCATGTTTATAAACTATGGGGAAATATACGAGAAGACTTCCACCTGTGATTAACATTATGGCTTGGCGAACTCACTCTATCTACATATGGTCTGTATACTGCTACCATGTAGATGCTGCTGCTTGAGTCATAGGTGGTATAGAGTCCACTGTTGAATGTATTATGTAACATAACTTTTATGTCTTAACACGGGTAGGAGGTATTAGTTATCTTGTTACTGACCTGATGCAATATCAGGTGCCATTATATTAAACTCTTTCGCCTTGTTATTTGATGTGGAAGTGGGGTGGGGATTAGTAATCTCATTATTCCGACTGATGTAATGTCAGGTCACTTATTAAAGGTGTGAGGGATTTGGTAATTGGTGCGTGTGCACTTACGTGCTCGTTCCGTGTGTGACATCACTGTGTGGCTACTATTTAGTGTGACATAGCAAATCGCTTTGTCATTATTATCCTGTGGTCGTGTTTGTGTGGCATCGCGTCGTGTTTGAGGATGTTACATCTACGTGATGGTCGCTTACTCTGCTCCATGTAATTACTTCGCGTAGTCGGGTTCAGTGCGTTGGCCCGGCTGCATTGTTCTACATTGGAGTTCTCGTGTGCCGATTTTCGATTGTGGCGGGAAACTCGTCAGAGTTGACGCGTGAGGATATCGAGCATTGCTGAAGGTTCAAGGAGCATTCCGTGGATAAGGCGATAATACGAAGTAAAACTTCCAGGATGGGTGGTGCTTTGGGCCGGATATGGTCTACAAGGCGGAGGAGGTCACAAAGGGCAGGACAAGAAGAACCAAGATAATTTATGCGGGCTCATCATTTTCATTGAGGAGACTTGTGGGTTCTGGTGACATCAGGGTAAAGGCAACCAGAAATGGGCGATGAGCGCTGCTCGCTATGCGTGGAATCACCTTCTTCAGATGTGCTGTACATTCCTCATGTCCACAGGAGTTTAAACTTTGTAAGGGAAGAACTTGGCTTTCATGCTGCCAGAAGATGGTATGTGTGTAGTATGGTGGCTGCTCTGTGGGTACACTCGGTCCCTGCACTTCCGGAGGGCTCTGACGAGCAATGACAAGGTGCTGCTTGGTGAAGTTGTGAGAAGGGAGAACACCAGACTAGCTCAAAAGGGGTGAAGAAGGCCACAGGGGCACCTACCAAATAGAAGCGCACCTGGCTGGCGACCTAGAATGGTCAACATAAGGCTATTATGCCTGCAGGAATCGGGCCATTAATCATGGAAGGTCGAAGTGGTTAAGCACACCGTGGGGAGAAAGAAATCCAATATAAATGGTCAGGAACACCTTAATGGAATTGGATGTTGGTGGAAGAACTTATGATTCTTGAGTTGTATTTCTACAAAATTCGGCAAGGTGCATTCAGCGGTGAAAGTCAGGTTGAAGAAAGAACCTGGAGGCGAAAAAGCAGTGATGTCACCGGACTCTTTCTTGGATTGGCAGCAGCAGATATATTTGCAAGCGTAGTCTTGTGGCTTCGCTGCAGGCAGGAAGGCCAGTTTTCCTCTCATTGGCTTTGATGGAGGAAAGTAATAGGTGGGAAACACCGGGGAGATCGTTGTGAGGTAATGGTAGGAGTGAAGAATCATCATTATGCAAGTTCATCATTGTTGAGAACTAATGGTATTTTCCTGTCGTGGGTCGCAGACACCAAGATGTCATCATGTTGGAATACCCTATTTGTGTACTTTCGCTAGCAAAGCTTGCTGAAAGGTGGATCTCTGAGTTCTAAGCATTTTCTTTTATTAAAGTAGAACAGGAGGGAGTTTAGCCAATACGCACCTTGCTAGGTTGGACTATAAATGGACCGCTTGGAGTGGCGAGCCGTGATTATGCCATGTTATTGACCAAATGTAATGTGATCACCCATTGTTGGGGTGAGGAATAGGTGTGAAAGTACTTCACAGTCACTTAAACTGAGTATAATGTGAACTTTAGTTATGTCCTCTCACTGTAAGGGAAAAACAAAAATAAAAAAATACCAGTGATAAATAATAACACAACAATTGCAGAGAGAGATGAATTCCATATTTCAAGTTGGCCCAATGATGAACATCATTAATGCGAGTTTGTTTACATCACAAATAGAGTTGTAGTCTTAATATATCAGCATCGTTAATGCGAAATATCGCAAATAGGGTGCTTACCTTATTTTATCATATTTCTTAACACATGCTAGTCTTGCATATTGAATGATTCCTGCCAGATCTACCTGTGTTAATACTGTACAGTATTAATACCTTAAATTATTGTACAGTATCTACTTGTATATATTGAACTTGACTTGGCAGTATAGGTACAGTATTTTCTCAATTTAACAAACTAATTCTAGCCACCCCTTTCCGTTACTTTCAATCAATTTAGCGAACTAATTTACCATATTGAGCGTGATTCCATTAAATTGTGCCAAATGCGCCGCTTGACGCTTGGGGTTTGTTTACATCCACTCAGTCTGTGCCCTGCCGCCACCGCGTGTGTTGTTCACTACTACCTCTTGGTCAACTAACTACTGTGCTTAGCCGTCATGCTGAAAGTCTTTCAGAAGTCTCAGAAGGAAGTGGTGTGGAGGAGAAAGTGAAAAGTGTGTGGCTATCAGTTGGAAAAGTTTAGAAATAATGGAAATTTTTTAAAACAAATGCCAAACCCCCATTGTTTAAGGTAAGCCATAAATAATGTTTCTATGTACATATCAGGTGTCTGAGGTGTGTACATAGGTGTGAGCATATTAATGGAATTTTTCTTGATTTAGCAAACTAAATCGAATGAAAAATAACAGAAAAAATTATTTCTGCTAAATTGAGTTCATTATATCGGATTCCGTTAAATTGAGAGAATACTGTAGTTATGGATGAGTTGCGAAATTATTCCTCGGAGGTAGAAGGGTAATTCTTGGGATGGTGAAGGGGGTTATTTTAATTATTTTAAATATGAACAAATACAGTACAGCAATCTTTATTTTACTTCCTTTTCTCAGAAAATCATTCCCAAAGCCGTAATTTTCCGGAAAATTTCGGCTTTGGGAAGGATTTTCCAAGGGGCACATTTTTCAGAAATTCTGAGAAAAATTTTCCAGTACCCAGAAAATTCCTGGGATGGGGGATATTTTTCCAGTTTGAGAGATGATGTAATGTGCAATTTCTGGAACTTCCGAGAAAATTTTTACGTTGCCCGGAAAATTACAGGGATGAGGGATTTTTTCCGGCTTTTGAGAGATGATGTAATGTGCAATTTATGGAACATTATTCTGTTATGCGGAAAATTCTGCAGATGAGGGATTTTTTTTTCCAGCTTTGAGAGAGTCGTCTCGTTACCCGGAAATCTCTCATTCCCGGAAGTGTTCTGCACCAATTGTTCCGGCTAACGGAGATATCACTGTACACTACTGGCTTTAGGGTACTTATAATCTATTCTCTCTACTGGCACCGTAGTACTGTATACTTTAACTTTGCATTAAATACACATGTAGAGAATCGGTAAAACTTTTTTGTAATACGTTTTCGAAAATAGTGCCGTGGTGACACTGACAGCAACAGAGCCTAGACCATGAGAGTTTCCAGTTCATGGAAATCTGAATTTCATACGTTCAACCTGTATTTGTTCTTTCCTTTAAAAATTTTTATGTTATAATTTCTTATTTCTGTTATAATTCTTGTTGCGGTGAATTTTAAGTCCAAACTTCCATACAGGAGGGTTTGTACACACTAAACTAACTTTTAGTTATATATCACCAGACAGTACTGTATCTTGCTGTACTGTACATTGTTTTGAGTGTAAGTAGTTGAGGTACAAGGTATTAGAAAACTACAGCCACACCAGGTTTATGTATGTTACATAAACAAATTTCATTAAAAAATTACCTAGGGATATTAATATTTTTCATACTGTACTGTACTGTATTACTATTTTCAATACCAACCTACTGGATATTATGGCACTTATATAAAAATCTAAACACTACATTTTTGTAACCGGAGTGATTTGTTCATCACACATTTAGTCAACATATAGACAGTAGTACGGTACTTACGATATATAAATATGGGCTGTTTACAAGCTACACTGAACTTATGTAAGGCACTTACTAATATCCCTTCCAAGAATATTTTATTAAAAATCCATATTTTTCATATAAAGTGACCCTTCGTTTAACGAACACCTCGGTTAACGTAATTTCGATTAACGAACTGCCTTCCATAAGGATCTTCAATTCGGTTTACGAAAAAAAATTCGGTTAACGAAGTTCTTACGAACCGACCTCAACATGTTTTCGCTTGCACTGACCGGGCAACCAGCTTTAGTATCAGTCCACCAATACATTAATCGGTTCTAGGGCTTAAATTCCTTACTATTTTAGTAAATATCAAGAAGTTTATACCATTCAATAATTTTAAAAGTTTAATATTAAATTTTTTAGTCATTTTAACAATTATTGAACATAATTGAAGGTAAAGTGACAATATTCTTTAAGAATTTTGAGAATTTTAAAATAACATTATGAGTGAGCTTAACAATTCTCCTTGTTAATGCATGTAATCATGAAGAATTGTTATACAGTACAGTGGGGTATGCTATAACGAATCTAATTGGTTCTAGAACCTTGTTCGTTATAGCATTTGTTTGTTATAGGATTAATCCGTTCCAGGCCCCCAAATACAACCACTTAACACTGAAAAATATAATATAAAATTGTAAAAATTGTAAAAAAGTGCATAAATATGCATCTAAACCCCTGAAATAAAGAATATCATTAATATTTGTAATAATAAAACAATAAATTAGAAAAAAAAAAAAATTAAATTATGTTCGTTGTAGGAGTTTCGTTCGTTATAGCATTCTCAATTTTATAGGTAAAACCGTTCGTTATAGGAATATTCGTAGTAGGATCCGTTCGTTATAGCATACCCCACTGTACAGTAATAAGAAAATTAAGTAAATCAAGAATTTAGTTGCTGAAAACACAGCTGGCTGAGAGATTGGATGCCCAATCAAAATGAGTGACTGGGAGTGGAAGGTTGACCGAACCCGAGTACAGTAATAATTTGCTTAATGCTCAGGACGAATTCTTAAGAAAAGCGTGCTCAGTGATTTTAGTGGTAAAAGGGGTCAGTATACCTTTATATATAAGTTGTGGTATGTCCCTGAGGTTGTTGCAATTACCTATGCTTCATTTGGGTACTAGTAAACAAAGTTACAGCACAATACACTACTATTTTTATTTGCCGTAACTAAATTAACAAATTTACGTCAAGCCACAAGCCCAGAAAAAGATGAGAGCAAATTTTTCAAAGCAAGACTTGTGAACTCTTGGAACAATCTGCCAGAGTGTGTTGTGATGGCACCAAGTGTGACCTCATTCAAGGTTCCGATATATCCAGGAGCCGGTGCATGCCCAGTACTTGCCAACAGTGAGTTAGAGAGATGTGACCGACCGCCCAAGTGGCTAATGAGTCGATCAATAGCGAAGAGAAAAAAAGAAAAGTAAAAGTAACCCTTGGAATGAGAGGTAAAGGATATCACAGGGTTCTTCTGAGTGAGATGAATCCTTCATCACTAAAAAGGGTAGAAAAGGCAGCCTGTAATGATGAGAGAGAGGTTGTGGTGATGAATGAGATGGTGATAGGTGGGGAGATGTGCTTGTTTTTATGGTGGCTAGCTGCTGCTCTGATAGTGATCATTATCAACTCTTCTTCTTTTACCTAAGACATTTAAATGTAGAGCTACAACATGATGTTACAATAAAAAAATAATAACAATTAGCACATGCCGAACGAAAACCGAGAGATAGGTGTTTATGTCGCAAAAACCCGCTTCTACCACTCACAAACACAAGAATGCATGCTTCAGGCCTCAAATGAAAAACTACCACCACCATTCATGCAAATCAGTCGACTAGTGGAGCATTTTACATCACCCAATAAGACACACACAAATGGAAAATTATGGAATAATGACTAAAGCCTTAAATTTCTCATTATCAACTGTTTTTCTTTTATCTACATTAATTAAATGTACAGTACTTCAACACTGTTGTGTTATGATAAAAATACTTTAACAATGACAGCTGAGGGTAATAAAGAGCAAGTCTAGAATGATGAGGGAAGTGGATCAGGTGGTGGTGCCGAGTGAAATGATGATAGAGGTAAAAATGATGTTCCAGTTTTTGACTACTGCACTGCCAGGCAAAAGTGATCAGCTAATATTTCCAGCCTCAAATTTATCATTATCAATTATTTGTTTTCTTTTACCTACGATAATTAAATGTAGCTCTAAAATTAAAAAAAAAAAAATTGCAGCAAAAACTAGTGAGGTGTGTGTACATCGATACAGTCCGCTGACACACACATGGTCAGTCCTCACAACTGTGTTCTTCAACTCCTGACTACTAACACACACCCATATCACTAACTGTGATGGTTGCAGGTGATGGTGCAGGGGCAGATCCAGGAATATCAAAAGAGAGGGGGGTTCAAGAAGTTGTGGGTGGGGAAACTTGGTGAGCATAGCGAGCCCACCCAGCTGGGGGGTTTTAGGGGATGCTGTAAGCCCCCCCCCCCTCCTTTTTTTAATCTGACCAATATCATGACATTTTGAGGCCATTTATAAGCCATGTGTACTTGATATTAGGAGATATTCTGAGGTCAGTAGTAATTAATTTTTGCTTTACAAAAACACCTGAATACAATACTGCATTAAAGGGGAACTATTAGAATTTTCAAATGAAAAGGGGGGGATCTGTACCTGCAGGACCCCCCCCCCCCTGGATCTGCCCCTGTGGCAGTTAATGGTGGTAGCAGGTGGTGATGGTAGCAGGTGGTGATGGTAGCAGGTGATGGTGGTGGTAGCAGGTTATGATGGTGGTGGTAGCAGGTTATGATGGTGGTGGTAGCAGGTGATAGTGGTGGTGTGCTGGTTTCTATGGTTATTTTGCTGCAAGACACAAGTGATTAGCTGTTATCTACAGCCTCAAATTTGTCATAATCAGCTGTCTGTTTTCTTTTACCAAAGACAATTAAATGTAGCTGCACAACATGATGTTACAATAAAAACATTTATCAATGAAAACTTGCATTGAGAATACTGAGAGGTATGAATAAGTTTCTACAGCCCACCAGCCACCCACACACACAGACATACATACTACATACATTCCAGGCCTCACAAGTTGTGTAATCATTCCAGATCACCAACACACACATTTCAGTAACAGCACTATTACTCGCAGATCTTTTCCCAGACATTTTTATGTAAAATTTCCAAATACAAGTTATAAGGAGAGCACAATGTATAATGTGTAAACATGGTATAAACTAAGATGGAAGTTTCACTGATTCATTATAAGTTATCTACAGTACTTTGGAAGTCATACATGACATTAAATGTGAACCTCAGAATAGTGGGTGTCAGTACGGGGAGGATTTGAACTCATAACTTTAGAACATTCTCTGTTTTTATTTTACATACTGTAGATAAATAAAATCTCTCTCTAGGATCAAGAGTGTTATAACGAAGCAGTGCAAAACAGGGCAGCTCGAAATGGGAAATTGCTGCACTATTTTATGGCCTGCAAGAGTCGAAGCATATGCACAAAAGTATGACAGTAGTCTCACAGTTCATGTCCTTTACAAAATGGGTAATTAATGCGAAATCCTATTTATTGGAGCTGGAGCTTAACTGGAAGCAATTCCATCTCTTTAGTTCTCCAGGTTTACTAGTATTCTGAAGTACAGCACAGTTACAAAAATATGAGTTCCTAAGAACCCTAGGATCAAACCTGTAAGTGTGCTGATGCAGTCCTTGTCACCTGTTCTACTGCAAGTTACAAATGGAGCTTCCTGGCTTCACATGAGAAGACATGCTTCCCCACCACATCTGAGACAATGTTGACTGCATATTCCCTCCTCCACTGTACTCATAATCCTGGATTGCCACTCATTTTTTTTCATATTTATATTGCTTTCAAACTCCTACAATTGGTGAAAGAATTTAAATAATGGCTACATATACCTGTATAAACAATAGTATAATATATGAAAGTGACAGCTCCTACATCTATGGGAATAAGATGAAGGAACAAAAGTTTTCAGCTACTGTATATTATTTTGCTCCACTCAATTTGAATGTCTTTCACCCTGACCCTTCCATTCACTATTAATCTCACTTCCACTTAGCAATGCTCAGATATTCTGTGAGCTGCTCCTCAGAATACATTCTTCTATCCATCAACACATTCAAACAAACCTCTATTTTCGATTTTATCTCAACTTTATGTATATTTATGAATGTCTTTTATGTATTCCCCATTATCAGACCTTGGGTCACACTTCTAGTAAATCTTTCCATTTTCATTTATTTCTGGTTTTCATATTTACCCACAATCACTTTTATTTCCCAATCACCAATTCTTGAATTTAAATTCCCACATCATTATCTCTTCATCTCACACTGAAGCCTTCAACACAGTTACCGGGTATACTGTACAATTCTTCCCAGAACCTCTCTTTCCTTCTCACTCTGCCCATTCCCTCTCTCTCTACTTTTAATTTGATTCGTAACATTCTGTGACTGACCCCCTAATATTCAATGAAACAACTCCACATTCCATCACTCAATAACTCTGTCATACCTTTAGCTTTTGCTCTATTATTTGTTCCTTAACTTTGTGTTGCACTAAACATGACAATCCAATTTCCTTTCAATCGTCCTTTGTTTTTTCAATCACTTTCCTTATCACTGTGATTACATTCATTCACATTTAAACATCTCAGATTCATTTATTCTTGAGTATTTTGCAGCAGTAAGAATGAATAAACTAATCACATTTGATAGAAAGGAAAGGCAAACATTATTTTGTCTACAGTAGTTGATGTAAAAAATATTCTACTCACAATAATTCCCCTAGATTTGCATCTCGCTTATACATTAAATATTTTTATAAAATTTGTAACTTTCAAATACGTATAAAAAAAAAGATAAAAGAAAAAACATGCATATATTTTATTCATGAGTAAATGCACAAACAACAGTTTTAAATATTTATGACACAAAGTGAGGTGGGCACTTAACATATCACCTAGAGGTAACTGGTTCTATAATATCTTTAAATAAGTCTGATAATCCACAGCTCATCATCCAAGTTTTAAATTCAGTAATGTTTTCTACTTGATGAACTTCAAAATTACTAAACTTGTTTTGCTGATTACCTTGATAGAGTACAGATAACAACCTTTCTTTACATGGTTTTCCTGACGAGTTGACGTCCACACACTGAGTCTTGTTCCGCTGGATATACATCTGATGAAAAGAGTAAAACTAAATTATATTTATACAGTTATTAAGAGTGTAAATGTAACCATACAATATCATCTGGGAAATATTTTAACTTATTTTCTAATTATTCAGAGTATGACATGCAATATTTACTGTAAATGATTTTATCACAATATTTACCAGAGAGGCACCAAGATGGAATATTACAATATCCCACATAAGAGAAGTACAAGAATACAAAAACTAGGCAAGAGAGTCTACTGAATGGAATTATGTAATGAAATATATTATTTTCATCTACAATGGTGCACAAGATGTCCTGTAACAATTAGATAAGATGCAATAATATACAGCATGTTTTGATATAATTAATGAAATAACTTTAGGTAATTCACCATCACCATCATCAATGTTTTATGGCCATTTTCCACACTTCCTAAAGGTAACACAGGACAGTAAATAGATAATTTAAGAATCATGGTAGGTCCACCCAATGGCCCTAGAAGGATCAAATTATCAAGCTATGCAATGTGAAACTTGTATTTTCTGTATCGTTTATCTCTTTATCTATTTTTCATTTCATCACTAAGTAGCTCATTACTGTAGTTGTTCAATTGGTTGGTCTATTCTTTGTTACAAGTCTTTACCACATTTTAAAATATGAATATAAAAATTAAAATTGTGTACACTTAACCAGACCCTTCCAGATACATGGAGACACTTTTAGCGAGAATTGTTTACATATGCTCAGGGGCAATTATTTGTCTTAGAAACTGCCCCAGCAAGCATGTAAAGAGTTGGTTGTGACTGACAAATTATCTTCAGGCCTGTCAATGTCTTCTTAGTCATGGCCAAGCATAGATTTGCATCCAAGCATTCCCATCAAAGTTTGATTACCTAACAATTTGAGGAGCAAATGTAGTTGTTTGGTTGCGATGAAGATGTGGATGACCAAGGATATGATATAATACAAGTACTGTAGTAGTAGTGTGTGTGTGTGTGTGTGTGTGTGAGCGCTTACCTGTTAGAAATGCTTGTGTTTATGTATGTGTGAATAAACTGTATCGGAGTGTATATAATGTATGTGTGATGAAATGAGCCTGCGCCACAAGTTTGAGTGTGTTTTGTGAATGAATGTGTGTGTGTGTGTACATATTTTGCACTTGTAAGACTTCACTTGGATTATTGGTTTAGTTTTGGTCACTGTACTACAGAATGAATATCAAATCCCTAGAAAGAATTCAGAGGAGAATGACAAGACTAATCCCGGGCATTAGGAACCTTGAGTACAGAGACAGGTTAAAGCATGTATAAATGGAAGTTGGGGCTAAACAAAGGTGATATAGTATAACAAAGGGACTTAAATTAACTAACAAGGAGCAAACTCAAAGCGAGATAGGTAAACACTGGTTTGGAAATAGAGTAGTGGATGAGTGGATTAAGTTACCAAACATCATCATTAACTCTAACATGCTCTATTCTTAAGTTCCTGCTCCCTCAAGGCGGGTGACTGGGTGCGACGATCACTCCCCATGTGCTGCTCTGCCTCCCCTCTACGCCACACAAGCTAGTTCTCGAACGTAACTGCTACAAACCATTGTGCTTACGTCAGATTTTTAAAATAATTGACTTTATGGGACTTCATTCATATCGGCGTTCGTTCATAAGTCAGGGACCCCTTGTACCCTGGACATGAGTAACCAACAACTGGCATTAAGTAAAAAATGTTGCTTCTGTAAACATAATGCAAAAAATTAACCTAAGTTAGTGCTTCCATGTAGACCAAGGTTATGATTACATACCTTTATATCGTCTGCACTGCCCTGCAAAAATAGAAATATCCATCGTAAACAGAACACTATCCGGCCAACAAGGTCCAATTCTTCACACCAGGCTTTTATTGTCTTTAAGTACTTTGCTTTACTCCGCATGTGATCCAACTGCAGGATACAGGTCACAGGTTCTGCAAGTACCCCGGTATACATATTACACAGTACTTGTACAGTATATTATTATCAAGCAAATGTGAGCAGTTTTAAGTAATACAGTACATGTATGTTGTAATCTTATTTTTACAACTAAAATACTGTACAGCCTTTCACTTTCTATACAGTACTATCTATTTGATAGCTAACTTACAATCTGACATCACTACATATCACAATAATACCATATTATTAATTTTTGCCTATATTCAAAGGAGAAAAGGTTTTACATACAACATACCCTGCAAAGAATGATTCAATTGAGTACAAGTACCACTCAAATTTAGACCAAAAATTTTATCGAGATTTTTGTGAATTTTATCCACCATATCTTTGTCCTACATTGGCATCATGGATTTTATATACATATCTTTTTTCTTAATGGATGTGTGAGTATACTTTCCATTAACATATAGCTAAGTACAGTAGAGTACTTGTTTATTCTTTGCTTGGATGTCATAGGGCACAGTGGCAACAAATTAGAAACCCAACCTTATTACATATTTAATTGTACAAATAAATAAGAGAGATGTATTACTGTACACAATAGAGTCTAAAGGTAAACACTGGCAGAAATAGGTTACAACTCTGTCATGTTTAATATGTGACATGTTTATATCATCATTTAATGTTCTATACCTGGGGGTATAATTTTGTGGTTCAGCAACATAACGTACAATTTTCTTAGTTACAACTTTGTCATATTTTCAATACAAGTTACATCAGTCATAATTCACATGTGACATGTGTGCATTATCATTTAATGGATTTTTTGTTAACTGGGGGTATAATTATGTGATTAAACAACATAGCATAATATTTTCTAAGTTACAACTGTCATATTTCATATCTGACAAGTGTACGCTATCATTTGATTAATTTTCTATACCTGGGAGTAATGGAGATTAAGCAACATAATACAGTATAAAATTTTTGAGGTTTGATATGCGGTTATGATAATAGTTTTTTTATAAACACCATTAATGAGAAAACTGCCTCACAGACATAGATGCTTCCAAATTGTACCAGAACCTTGATAGCTCTTGATAAAGCATTCAAAACTTTCATATGTCACCATAGACATCAAAATTCACCCTTGCCTCGTTTTCATCCTGAAATTCTGTCATTTTGAGTGCAAAAAAGACAGTTTTACATAAGTCTTGAATGGAAATTGAACAAATACAAGACTCAGTAAGCAACTCGGGAAATCTATTATAGAAATTTGATACCATTTTCTGTCTGCATCCATGAGAAGCAGAGAGTGAACTGAGTTGAGAACAGTTCTGTTGCAATATGTGTCATTAGGGCAAGCTGATCTGGACTGACTGACCTGACACAAGGAGAGTAACTACATTAATCCCTTGCTCATAATTTATGGTCCCGACTTAATGAGACAGCACCCATTGGCCACATCCTTCAGTCAATGACAACATGGACTAAAGAAACTAAAAAATCACATATGACTGCTGCAAGACCCAGGTGAATCAAACGACCCCTTAGATTCAATGTGAGTCCAGCGACCCTATGAGCTCTATAGAAACCCATCGACCCCATGAGCTCTATGGGAGTCCAGCGATCATATGAGCTCTATGTGACCCCTTATGATGCTCTTGGGGTAGCAACCCCATGTTTGCGAACTGCTGGTCTACCTCATTATATTACAAGGTAGTCATTTGCAATTGGTAATACTAACAGCACTTATGAAAGGAGATATTCATTGTGAATGTTAGATAAATACGAGGCAAAGTAACAAACCTCTAAATGGATCACCTTGTACTGTACAATATAAAGAAATGTGAGCTTTAGCAGAAGGTAAAGGCATTATTTACCATTACTTGTGTCATTCTTCATCATAGCTGCATCCTGATGTTTTCCTCCAATGTCTTCTTTCTCTTGCAAGGCAGTGAGGAGATCCAGTACCATAGATGACCCACAGCAAGATTTGGCAACTTCCATCAAGAAAATTTTCACACTATCACATTCTGCACGTGTCAAGGATGAGCACTGGAGAAAATCAAATTTGTGCTTCAGTATATAATATCAGTCATCAAAACAAAGGAATAAAACAAATAATAAAACAAAAAACTTACATTTTAATGACTAGCTGTAAAATACAAGTGTAATTACAGTACTGTACAGTGGTCCCTCGGTTAACGAACACAATTAGTTTCAGTCGTTCGTTAACCGAATATATTATTTCAATGGGATATTCGGTAATTGGTTCCAAATCACAGAGAAAGTATACATACAAAGTACTGTATACCAATAATAGAATTAACAAAACATTAAATATAAATTGAATACAGTACTGTACTGTACTGTACAGTATACTGTACAATAATAAATAAAAAACAATAGAATACTGTATTTTAACTTACTTTGAGGTGTGTATGTCGTATTACCGGCAACTTTGTTTACATATCAAACAGCTGATTGTAGAGGCAGTCGATGATGATGCCATATTCTTTACAGAGTGCATTGGTTCTCATGCCTTCTTCATGTTTCATAATAATTTCAGCACTGTATATTATCAATATGCTAACTAAATTTCAGAATGACCAATAATTTTAATGTAAAAATGCTAAAATATTCAAGTGACCAACAAAATCGCTGTTCACTCCACTGTAAACAAAGTTAAACTAAGAAGCGTTGTTGGGTGATTCAATCAGCTGATGGGCGCACAAAAACTGTTCCCTGTACTGTCTATATTATCAATATGTTAACTAAATTTCAGAATGACCAATAATTTTAATATAAAAAATGCAGAAATATACAAGAGACCAACTTTCTTGATACTGTATTTACTTCACTGGAAACGAATGTAAACATAGAACCAATTACTGTACAGGTAGTTCTGCTATAACGCGATAATTGTGTTCTTGTAAAATATCGTGTTATAGAAAATCGCGTAATAGAAATAACAGGGCTTATGGAGAAAATAGGGTTAGGTGCAGATTACTCGAAATCGAAAAAATTTAGTAGTTAGCCTAACACAAAGGATAGCACAGTCTAAATAAATGTTACATTCATATCTAATAATGAAATCATACAGTAAATGTAACACTTTACCTTGAAAAAATATGAATGTAACTTGATGGGGGAGAAGGGTGATTTTGAGGTTGATAACATCGAGCTTCTCTTCAAGTGTTATATCCTTTCTTTTACGATAATCACCGGGAATTCTATCATCAGAACGCTTTTTGGAGATATTCTTCTTTACCATAATCACAGTTAATACCACAAAATTGGAGAAATAGTAAGCAAAAATCGCGTTATAGCAAACAAGCGTTCGCGTTATACAAATATTGTTCCGAATTCATAAATCGCGTTAGAGCAAATTCGCGTTATCAAAACACGCGTTATAGCAGAACTCACTGTATAGGCGGACTAGCCGGTCAGCTGATGCTCACAACAAAACGTGTTTGTCGTAAGGATTTCGTTAATCGAACTGAAAATTCTTATGGGAGCTAATTCGTTTACCAAAATTTTGTAAATCGAACCGTTCGTTAACCGAGGGACCACTGTATTTATGACTGGCTCAATAAACAAAAAATATACCAAAGAGTATTTGAAGAGGTTGGAGTAAATTTCACATGGTAATTTTTAAGTTATATATTTTATTAAAAGTTTTCAGCCCATTTACATGCCAGGGCCCTGGGGATAGGGGTTTCAACAAACAGATTTGCTGGCTACATGGAACTGCCTGATCCATAAATAATATTATAAAATATGATTTGTTTGTATTGTGTAATAAATTATGCTGCCATCTAGTGAAGTGCAGGGGAAACTTTCGCTTGTCGGCAGAAGAACGAAGTGGTTCATTTGAAAATATTTTTAATTCTTCTCTGCTTAAAACTAAGTAATAAAGAAATTTATTTGACTACGCAATAAAGAAAAAGAGGGAGTAATTTAGGGCACCAGAAAGTAAAGAAAGCGAAGTACAGGACCGTACAATAATGGAGATCTATTGTACAATACAGTATTAGGTGCACAGGTGCTCCTCTATTTACGAACAAGTTACATTCCTGAGGCTTGTTCCTAAGTCCATTTATTTATTTATTTATTTATTTTCTTTTTTTTACGGGAATTAACCCACACGGGCACAGGTCAAACAACCCACAACGGGGCCTCGGAGGTGTAAGTCCAACTTTACTCTTGTAGATACCAAACATGTTGTAAAAAATTAAAAGATAATAGATGTTTAGTACAGCTATACCCTACAATACAGCCTTAAAACCTGGCTCACTCTTCTTCTCTTAGGTGATGCATGTTCTATCTGGAATTTTCTTCAAAATATGCCAGTGTCATCCACATTAAACAACTGCTCTGGAAGGTAACCTCCCTCAATGGTGATGTTTGTATCTCTGAAAGTTTGTAAGTATAATGAGTCCAATGTTCTTAAATAGAGGAGCACCTGTATTGTCATTTACCATTAAGAGGAATTAATTCACAAATAACATTAAAATTACTGGTATTTTCAATGAGTTATTATAACCACACAAAATACAAACAATAATGAATATTAGTGCAGTGTTTACCTGTACAGACACTGATGGAGGCTCACTGGGATATAAGGGTGATGACAGAATAAACACTAGTGTAATCTTCAGGTCATGGCTGCTTACTGGACTTGTTGTCACCGAAAACTCCACTGAAGAAGCTCCTGAGAGACACCACACATTTATAATAAGTGAACTCTTTAAAGAGACATAACTGCTTTCCAAAAAACTGTCCTGGGTCGAAATACAGTACTCAATGATTCATCTCAATATTTATCTATAATTAGGAATAAGAGACTACATCTACTAATAATAACAGCTCAGTGGAATTTCATTGTCTTTATGTTACAGTTAAAGATGAGAGCCAATTTGACTTATACTCACATGTTTTTTACTTAAGAAAAAACTGGCTACTGCTGTGAGCATAATAAAACAAGAAAAATTAAGAAAATTATTCTATATTCTTAGAATCAAAACTATGCAGTATAAACAAGAAAAATGAGCAAATACATTGTTTATCTAGCTACTGTACATTTACTTTGCTATGGTGGATTGTTTTAAGTGAATGTGTGAACTCATCAAATGCCATAAGAAAAATATATTTCTAATATCAAAAGAAAGACTGGTGCCAGATGTAAACAAATCATGGCAACACGTGTGACTGAGGAAACCTAATAAAATTGAAAAATTAATACTGTATCTCGGTTATCTTTAATTTCCGGCAGAATTATCATAAAAGAAAAATCTTAGAATTGTCTAAACATTATGGAATACATATATAAACAGCGAGAGAAAGATTGGTGTAAGACTATGAATTGACCATACTTTTTGTTATCAACACAGTAAGATAAACTAGAAGAGAGAGAGAATGAGAGGGATAGCCACAGTAAGATAAACTAGACGAGACAGAGTGTTGACAACGAACTTTGCTGAGGTGATTAAATGGGCGCGTCGGCCACGCTGGTAGCAGCTGTATCGCCTTCTACTGTAGAGACAACAGTTACCAAGAGGATATTATATTTGTTCTCGTTGGTCAAACCCTAGACCCCAAAACGTGAGTGTGATTGTGACTTATTAAATCCTCTAAGAACTCTAAATAACTTTAATAAGTGTATTTATGTACTGTATATTGATCATATTATACAAACTGTGTCCTGATAACATAAGAACATAAGAAAATAAGGAGTCTGCAATAGGCCGGTTGGCCTGTGCAAGGCAGCTCCTGTCGAGAGTTACTACCACTCTCTATCATCCATGAATCTATCTAGCCTCCTTTTGAAACTTTCCAGAGTTCCTGCACTTACTACAAAGTTGCTAAGCTTGTTCTTCTCGTCCACCACCCTATTTGTGAACCAGTTTCTTCCTATCTCCCTCCTAAACCTAAACTTATCCAACTTGAATCCGTTGCTCCGAGTCCCATCCTGCTCAGATATTATAAGAACTTTATCTATATCCCCTTTATTGATTCCTTTCACCCACTTAAATACTTCTATCATATCTCCCCGCACTCTTCGTCTTTCTAGGGAATGCAAGTTAAGTTTCTTTAACCTATCCTGATATGGAAGGTTTCTAAGTCCTGGAATCATTTTTGTCATTCTTCGCTGCACCAACTCTAGTGAATTTATATCCATTCTATAATAGGGGCACCAGAACTGAACCGCATAATCGAGGTGCGGCCTGACTAGCGCAAGATATAGTTGCAATAAGACCTCTGCACTCTTGTTACTTACACTTCTAGATATAAAACCCAATACTCTGTTTGCCTTATTTCGAACATTAACGCACTGTTTTCTAGGCTGTAGGTCCGGGCTTACAAGTACCCCTAGGTCTCTTTCACAAGTCGACTTCTCTAGGTTGATGTTGTTAAGGCTGTATACATTATCAATATTTGTTCTTCCAATATTAAATACGCTGCACTTGCTAGTGTTGAATTTCATTTGCCATTTTTCAGACCACCCCTGCAGTTTATTTAGATCCTCCTGTAATGCATTTGCATTCTGCCCTGAATTAATCTGCCACCCTATTTTGGTGTCATCCGCAAACTTGCTTATGTCACTGCTGATCCCAGTATCTAGATCGTTTATGTAGATTATGAACAAGAGTGGGCCTAGTACTGACCCCTGGGGAACCCCACTGGTTACACGGCCCCACTCAGATTTAACACCATCTACGCTGACCCTCTGCGTTCTATCGGTGAGCCATGATTTTATCCAATTTAAAATTTTCCCCTCGATACCATGAGCCTTAATTTTTCTCAGAAGCCTCTGATGCGGTACTCTGTCAAATGCTTTGCTAGTCTAAGTAAATAACATCGTAATTTTCGTCATTATCTACTACCTCGAAGACTTTCCTAAAAAATGTCAGCAGATTTGTTAGACAAAATTTTCCCTTTGTAAACCCATGTTGAGAGTCGTAGATTAATTTGCTTTTCTCTAGATGCGATCGGATGCTATCTGCTATCATTGATTCAAGAAATTTCCCCACTACTGACGTCAAACTGATCGGCCGGTAATTTGACGCTGATGCTCTGTCTCCCTTTTTGAATATGGGTACTACATTTGCCTGTTTCCACAAGTCTGGCACAACTCCGCTGTCTAATGATTTTGTAAATAAGTTTACGAGGGGTCCGCTAATCTGTTCCCTACACTCTTTCAAGACTCGAGGGAAAATTTCATCCGGCCCTGGGGATTTTGTTTTCTTTAGTTTATTTATCGTCTTAAGAACATCCTCTTTTCTGTGAGTTGGAGGTTAATAGGTTATGTACCGTTATTGATCGTACTATTCAAACTGTGTGTCCCGATATACCAGCATTTGTTATATGTGAATTGTTCCTTAACAGGTTTAGACCGAATTATACTCATCGCGTCAACGACAAGGGTCTTATTATCCAGCACAAACCAATAACGCTCCTATGAGCGTTAACACTTTTACTTAAGCAGCAAAGTCCGGTACTTTTTAAGGTAAAATTAACGTTTCGGTCATCCACCTATTTGAAACCTAACCAGTAAAAATCGGTCACAGCACTGCTTCTCGACTGCAACCAAACCAAATCTATCCTAACTTACTAAAATTCACTGGATGACCGAAATGATAATAATACCCCTTTGACAACTCTGTTGGATAATATACAACTGGTGACCGTCATACCTTCGGCAATTATGGAGGGTGTTTTTAAGACACAGTTTGTACGCTGATTACTTCACTTCAATTAATTTTCTTGGGCAGATGCTTAGTTTTCGAGATATAGGCGAGTTAACCCTTTGGCTGTGGGAGGTTACCCTAAGTTGAATAAAATCGTCTGGCAGTAGACAGAAAAAATGGCAAGTGCGGGAAACACAGTGAAGGGGTTAAGATATAAGTTATGTAAGGGTCGAAAAATAATACTGTACTCCATACTCCTTCCCTAAGTACAACCTATATTAACAAGAAATGGCATTAAACGACAGTAATTACCAACCTGCTTGTCATTAACCAATTGAAATTTTCACAACCAACATTTTGTTACATATTTCTAAGCCTCAAATGATTCCTCTGACCTTTATAGTGCAAACAGAACTCATCCTTCCCGCAATATATCGCTTCAATCGCCTCAATTTCTTCATAAATTCCTTCCATCAAGTTGAAATTCCACGATTCTACACTACCGCAGTGACAGTCACAGTACTGTAACTGTCACCAAGTATTCTATTCAAGGAAGATACAACATTAAAGAGGATGACGGTGGCGACGCCCGGCGGCTGGGGAGTGACAACACATTAATCCCTTACATGATATTGTGCGATAACACCAGATTATTACATTAAAATACATAAAATTTGGATATATAGTCATAATTTCTCAAAGTAACACATTGATTATTTTGCAGTAAGAGATAATTATTTGCCTACTTAAGGGAACTTCTCCCTTCGGTTCTTCAGTAAAAGCGATGGTGGTAACTATACTAACCACAGCTTTACACTTTTACTTTATCCTCTTCACCACTGAAAAGCTCGTTAGGCGCTTGGGCAATCGGTCACGTCTCTGTTACGCACTGTTGGCAAGTACTGGGCATGCACTGGCTCCTTAATGTACCTGAACCTGCTCCAGTGTTAGTCAAGTTTGGTCTTGAAAGAGCTCACACTCGGTGCCGTCCCAACACTCTCTGGCAGATTCTTCCAAGAGTTCACAACTCTCACTCCGAAAAGTTACCCCTCACAGTTTTCTAGGCTCGCTGCTTCTTCAACTTTGAGCTGTGACCCCTTGTGGGTCGAGCATCCGCCAGCTCCAGGTAAGGGCACTCGACTGAGTAGTGCCCTTTGAGATGCCTGTACACCACAATTAGATCTTTTTACTTTTACCCTCTTCACCACTGATCGGCTCGTTAGCCGCTTGGGCGATCGGTCACGTCTCTGTTACTTTTCCCTTTCTTTTATCCTCTTCACCACTGATCGACTCGTTAGCCGCTTGGGCGATCGGTCACGTCTCTGTTACACACTGTTGGCAAGTACTGGGCATGCACCGGCTCCTGAATGTACCTGAACCTGCTCCAGTGTTAGTCAAGTTTGGTCTTGAAAGAGCTTGTAGTGGATTCCTCCCCTACAAGCACCGAACCTTCTCGAATTTCCCAGCCTACGCCTCCAGCGCCGCCCACGGAGCGGGGGTCAACTATCTACCCACGCCTACCCCCGCCTTATAAGGCCTGACACCGCTGTGACAAGCCTCTTTTCTACCCAGTGCCACCAGCAAGCAACACCTCCTCCGCGCCAGCCGTGCGGCTGCCGCTCCCGCCAGCGACCTCGGCGTCCCTCAAGCCGCGTGCCCTCACTCTGGGCACCTTCACCACCCAGCTCTCTCTACTCAACGCTTATTACCTTGCTACCTACCCAGCAACAAGCTGCATTGTACATCCAATACAATATGTATACAGTGAGCACATTGTGAGTTTCCTTTCTCCATCCCATCCTGAGTGTGAACCAAATATCTCATAACCCCACAAGCTCACACTCGGTGCCGTCACAACACTCTCTGGTAGATTGTTCGAAGAGTTTACAACCCTCACTCCGAAAAAGTTTGCCCTCACGGTTTTCTGGACTTGCGGCTTCTTCAATCTTGAGCTGTGACCCCTTGTGGGGCGAGCGTCCGCCAGCTCCAAGTAAGGACACTCAACTGAGTAGTGCCCCCTGAGATGCTTATACACCTCAACTAGGTCCCCCCTTGCCCGTCTGTAGTATAAGCTAGGCAAGTTCAGGCGCTCCAATCTCTCAGGGTAGCTGAGGTGCCGAAGTGCAGGCACCAGTCTGGTGGCCCTCCTTTGAACATTTTCAACCAACTGACAGTCCCTAGCATATCTCGGGGACCAGATGGGGTGACAGTACTCCAGATGGGGAAGCACTTCACTCCTGGAGATCGTCACGAGGGACGGACCGTCTAGATATCTGAACGACCTTCTTATAAGACCCAATAATTTATTTGCCTGATTTACCTTCTTCTCACAATGGCCCGAGAACTTCAGCTCATTGTCAATATACTCACCTAGCTCCTTCTCACACACAGTCTCAACTAGTGCATTTTCTTCATCCCGTTGGGACATATGATACGCCTCCTTACCGTTGGTACGCCCCAGGTGCATCCTCTTACACTTCGTGACATTGAATCTCAGCAGCCATTTCTTCGACCATTCCTGGAGCCCACAGAGGTCCTTCTGCAGCTCTTCACAGTCCGCTTGGTTCTTAATTCCCGAAATAACTTGCCATCATCGGCAAACATTTGTATGGAGGAGTGTACAACGTCAGGTATGTCATTTATGAAACAAACAAACAACAGCGGGCCCAATACACTGCCCTGTGGTACCCCACTTGTTACAGGTACAGATGACGATTTCGTGCCATTAATCACCACACACTGCTTGCGGTCATGTAGCAAGTCTTCTATCCACGCTAGGACATTTCCCCGAATTCCGTACCCTTCCAGTTTGATTTTCAGCCTTTCGTGGGGTACACTGTCGAAAGCCTTGGCAAAATCTAGGTAAATATTGTCGATATTACCACCCCGTTCCAGAATATGGGTCCAAATATCCAATACCTTGAGCAATTGTGTTAAGCAAGAGCGCCCCGGCATAAAACCGTGTTGGCAATCTTTTACAAGGTTGTTTCGTAGTAGATGTTCCATCGCGGCATCTCTGATAATACTCTCAAGTACTTTACATATTATGCTGGTCAGGCTCACCGGTCTATAGTTGTTCGTGGAGTGACTATCGCCCTTCTTGAAGATAGGACTCACATAAGCCACTTTCCATTCACTGGGGACCATTTGTTCATCCAGGCATTTACAAAACAGGAGCTTCAGGGGCTCTGCAAGCTCGTTGCACAGCTCTCTTTGCACTCTAGGATGCACCATGTCAGGTCCGGGACTCTTATGGACCTTTAGCCTGGACAGTGTATTTCTAATACCCTCTTCTGTGAACACAATGTGGGTCAGTGCTGTGTCGAACCGTCTGTCCTCAAACGCAGGAAGGTTAGTTTCATCCTCTCCTGTGAACACTGAGGAAAAGAAGCTGTTCAATGCCTCAGCTTTATTCTGGTCAGAATCTGCGTAACTACCATCTTCAAGCCTCAGGTCTGATACTCCTACTCGCGTTTTCAATTTCGACTTTGCATAGCGGTAAAACGCCTTTGGGTTTGACTTGATCTCGCGTGCAACCAGCCTCTGGAACTCCTTTTCAGCCCTCCTACACTCTATCTTTGCTTGGTTTCTGGCTCTTGCATACATCCTCCTGTCTTGCTCATCGTTTGACCCAACCCACGTCTTGAATTTTTGGGTTTTCTTCTTAATTTTGTCGACCGCCGCATGGTTCACGTGTAGTGATCCCCTCGTATTCTTAGAAGCACTGGGTTTGGTCTTGGGTATATATTTATCGATCAAATGGGTCATTTTACTAGTTATGATATTCAGCGTAGTGTCTGCGTTCTTGTACCTTAATAAGTCAGGCCAGTTGATACCCCTCATCTCTTCCCTCATCCCATTGTAATTTCCCTTGTAATATTTGCACCTTGGCCTGGCCTTATCTTGAACTAGGTAACAGTTAAATCTGAATGACAACACTGTATGGTGACTGGTGCCAACTGGGGCAAGGTGTTCCAGTTTGGCCACCATACCCTCCTCGTTTGTAATGATGAGGTCAAGTGGCTTGGGTGTTTGCTCCCCTCTGTAATGTGTCGGGTCTCTCACATGTTGGAACAGAAAATTATCTCTCAGAGTTTCTACAAAAAGAGTAGCAGGGTTATTCAAGTCATTCGGGGTGGACTCGTTTCTCCAGTCGATGTCGCCATAGTTAAAGTCTCCCATGATAAGGAGGTGGCTAGGGTTGAGCATCGCCGCATTGTTTATTAAGGTTCTTAAGTTCCTTTGATTTAGTGGGCCACAGTTTGGGGATCTGTAGATACACTCGACGATAAGTAAGTCCCCTCCCTTTAATTTTATTTTACACCACTTGGACTCTTCAAAAACATCCTCTCCCTGTACCCTCGCCTGGCTGGCTCTAAGGTCTTGCCTAGCGTAGATAACCACACCCCTCCTGCAGGATTCTTGAGTTAGGTTCGTAAATGAGTCATATCTAGCAATACTGAACTCACATTCCTCTGGGTCGATTCTCCTGATCTTGTACAACAGTTCTACAACTCCTACAATATCTGGTTGGTGTACTCTTAGTAGTGTTTCAAACTCCTCTCTCTTATCAAGGAACGTGTCAGTATTAGTGTACATGACATTCAAGCCAGAATTTGTTCTCGGTAACGTCTCTGCTCTTAGTAATAAACCCGCTCCACCCACATTCTCAGAAGCTGCAGCAATTGCTAAGTACTCTGTATTTTGCAGGGTGTGGTTAGAAATGTCATTGTTTACACGGCGCTCGTTCCCTCCTGTCCGGTAGGCTGAGCTGGTGCCGCCTCCCGGGTGGGGGGTTGAGTGGGTGGAGGGTACACTGCTGCCCCCTGGCCCTGTGTCGGCACACTTGTTTCCACTACCCTCCCCCTGAGTATAACCCATGTACACCTGTCCCCGTTCCTCCTCGACTCCTCCCTCTTCTGCTTCAAGTCCTGCAGGAGCATCTTGTGCTGTTCCCTCTGCATTACCGTGCGGTCTGGGTGAATGAATACATCCCGAAATGCCTCGCTCCTTGCTAAGTTTTTTGCCTGCCGAATAACTTGCCAATTCTCCTCCTCACTCACTAGTGTGATCCTGAGGGGGCGAGGCTTAGCCCCCTGCTTTTGTCCCAGCCTCCTCACATCCTGAGGGGTTGCTGGAATCTTCAGAACCTCTGTGCAAATATTTTGAAACCACCTTATCGTGTGTTTCCATACTCACAGTTCCCTCCGCCTGGCTCTCTGTGACTCCAAAAACTATTACATTGTTCCTGCGCTGGAGCCGTTCCTGGTGTTCCTCCTCTCCCCTAACAGTAGGTCCGTTAATTTTCATTTCTTCGACACACTTTTTCAAAGTCCCAATCTGCTGTAGAACCTGTACTGATTCTGCATTACTCTCCGCTCCCCCGTGGCCCTCCTAATACGTCAGCATAACTCCTCAGTCTTAGCAAGGTAATATCAAATAGGGGGGGGGGGTCCAAGAAGTTGTAAGTAGGGGGAACATGGCGAATTACTCAGAATAGACAAACTGTACTCCAAGCTTTGTCAATAAATTTGTTAACCTAAAAGAAATCCAGTGTAACCCTACCAAACACCACAGGTTTCCCGGTCCCCGGTTTCTACCTGTACTGACATTGGATAAACCGCACAAACGGCTAGTAAGCTGATAAGTGGCGAATGTGAAGAAAAAAAACTGCATTAAAGAAAAAATATTGGAATTTTCTGGTGAAAAGGGGGGTCCGGACCCCAAAACCCCTCTTGGATCCGCCCTTGAAGAACACATCAACTGTCCGAATGATGGGTAAGGTGAGTGATGAAATTATAAATATTAAAATAAGTAAATGTCTAATTATAAGCCTTACAGGTGTATTTAAATAATGTTCACATACACACATAAGAGATACAAATACACACGGGACTCATTATTGGATTTAAGAAGTTGATACTACGTTTTATTCATCTTTATAAATATAATTACACAATACAAAGTAAAAATCTAATAACAAATTCGTTTACGTGATGATAAGTTCCTTTAATTGATATCACCAGACGAAAGAAAAAAAAAGTTAAAAGAATTGTCTTAGTGATTCCTTAAAGCACCTCTGTGAAGCCTTGCCGTCAGCCGTTCCCTATGTAAACAATGGTTAAGCTCTCTTGTACAGTACGTGAATATGGTTAATTGTGACTTAGTAAACTACCAGACACACGAGAATATTAACCATGGACCTGTTTCTCTTGAGGTTGGGCACTGGAGAGAAGTACACCTTAAATCCCGATAAAAAACGAGTAAGAAGAGTATGGTATATACGTTATGTCGAGTAGTAACAAGAGCATGTTTGTTGCTGTGAACTTAACAAGGTCACTGTTGAACTTAATACTCTCACTAGTATATATTTATTTTTAGGTTAGTTTGTAGTTTTGACTAACCACGGCTATCGAGTTGACCAATGTGTTTTTTCTCGATGGTTTAGACAATTTTAAGACACTTCTTCCATGACGAGTTCCTTGTAAATGACCTAAAATTACCTAACCTCCTAATCCCTGTTTATTTAAGTAATTTTTTTAGGGAAATGTCCTCGAAGAAGTGTGTTTTAGAATTGACTAAACCCTCGGAAAAACTTCAAATTGACCTTATTTTATTTTTAAGTTTTGGTTAATGTTATTATCTTGGGAATTGTAATTTGCTTAAAAGCTGAACAGATATATGTGTATGATTACTAGTTGTCATGTTGCTTATCTCAACCTGTTGATTGATTTAGGCAGTGGATATTTGTCCGGTTGTTGGTTTTTTTATATTACAGTTTCAGCCACAACTCGGTTAGAATAATTTTGTGTTTACCATTAGTTATATCTTATCAATAGGAACAACTTTTTCTAATACCACTTCCGTCGCAAATGGATATTAACTGAGAAAGTAAATTCACTTAAGAAATTAATATAAATCTGCAGTCATCCCGTGTCTTCTGTTTGGTTACAGCCGACCTGTTCAGTCTGAGCTGTACAGTACTCTCATGTCCACAAAAAATGTAAAATTACACCATGATGCTTCAACAAAGTTACTTTCATTGGTACCAGATATCAAAATAAATACTTAATGTTTAATATAGCTGGGACAGCTAGGAAGTTAGGTAAGGTTAGGTAGGTTTCTTTGGTTGGTTAGGTTATGTTGTATGGGGGGGGGGGGTGGATGAGAAGTCCAAAACGACTCATTTTCGATGGAAATGAAGGTCAAATCTGAATTGATCACATCAAATACCATGGGGAAAAAAATAGTGGTTGAACAGTAGTAGTGGCTGAAACTAAATTTTTTTTTTTTTACGAATACCAGGAGTTGGTTGAAGTGAACGAAATGTAGTTGGAACGTAATTTACAATATTAAATCAACAAGTGGGAAAGAGAATATACAGAACATATAATAGCTTTACCTGGTATTATTGCCGTCTCATCCCCAATTGGGTTAAAGTAATTTTGGGATCACCAGAATTTATATCTCGTCATTTGCAACAACTTCTTCTAATACCACTGCCGTTACAAATGGATAATAACCAAGATGGTAAATTCATGGAAGATATTAACATAAAATATCACACTGCCCTAAGTGTTGATGTTATCTGTACAAACTCTCTGAGGTTGTGAATATGAAAGACATAGTGGTTTCTTCGAGAGTTAAATTGTTACCATCAGAGACATCTGGCAGGCCGAAAAGGACCATTTAGGTTAGGTTAGCCTAGGCTTTGGTGAGGTTAAGTTAGGTTAGGTTTTGGTTAATTTATGTTATGGTTAGGTTACATTACATTACATTACCTTACCTTACCTTACCTTACCTTACCTTACCTTACCTTACCTTACCTTACCTTACCCTACCCTACCCTACCCTACCCTACCCTGAATTCCCATGGGTCCCCCAAAATTGTTGGAGGGGAGGAGGGTTGATAAATAAAAAATGAATCATTTCCAACAAATGAAGGTCAAATTCGAATTAATCTCACCAAATACCACGTGAAAAACCTAGATTTCTAGTAAAAAACCAATTGGTAGTGAAACTGCAATTTTACTAAGTAAACTACAAGTACCAATCTTACTAAAAAATCCTTTTAAAACATGATTAACAATAATGAATGGATTCAGGTTTCTATTTATCTATTTAATAGAGTGTAAGTAACGTTTCCACTAAATTTTGTTCAATTCTATTAATTGCTTCTGATGTTATTCTAAAAAACCCTATCTAATTGACAACTGGACAAATTACACAGTGATTGATTTATTAATTCAATTTAATTTTTATCATTTCATGCTATCAGCTTACTAGTCATTACGGCAGTTAATCTTTCATATTTGGTGGGGTCACACTGGTTAGTAGTACAGTAGTAGCCATGTGTGGCTGGGCCATGACCCAAACATATGACATAGTACAGTAATGAGATATACCTGTACAGTACAGTACATGTACAGTGGGCCCTTGGTTAACGAGCACAATCCCTTCCAGCATGTTGCTCGTTAACCGAAAAACTCGTTAACCGAAACCATTGTTTCAATGGGTTTTTGGGTAATTGGTTCCAGCCCACCGAAAATTGCCTAAATTCAAAAAAAAATGTAGAAAAGTACACTTACTTTGAGGTGTGTATGTAGAAGGCTCCAGGATGATGATGATGGGAATTAGAATGGGGATGGAGGAGAAGGGAGAAGAGAAGGCATTGGGGTGGAAGAGAAGTCACCCCATGGTGCCATTTCACCCATAAAATTTGAGTTCTCTTGGTGTAATTCAAGATTATTTTCTTTAAATCAACACTGCACTGCATTATATATTGTCAATATGTAAAATAAATTTCAAAATGACCAATAATTTGCTTGCAAACACAGAAAAAAAGCGTTTAGGATTAAGAGAGTCTCAAGCAAGATGTTACCTCCACTGAAAAGATAGAGAGATTGGCACCTGTGTGCTGTGTTGCCAGACTGGATGGCAAGCATGAAACTAGTTTCCTTACCTTCAATTATGTTCAATAATTGTTAAAATGACAAAAAAATTTAATATTAAACTTTTAGAATTATTGAATAGTATAAACTTCTTGATATTTACTAAAATAGTAAGGAATTTAAGCCCTAAAACTGATTACTGTATTGGCGGACTAATACTACAGCTGGTGGACCGCCAAATGCAAGCAAAAACATGTTGAGGTCTGCTCGAAAAAACTCGTTAATCGAGGAATTGCTCGTTAACCGAAGTTAAGAATCTTATGGAAGGTAACTCGTTAACCGAGGCGCTCGTTAACCGAGGGATCACTGTACACGCATTGCTGCTGTACCATCAAATTTCTTCTTTATTCATAACTTAATTAATTTGGAGTGTAGTTGGGTACCCCAACTAAGTTTGCAACACAGTACATACAAATAATACTGTACAGTATTGGCAAATAATGCTATATCTTACTGATATAATTTTTTATGGTTTTAGTATACCAATATAATTTTAGCCAGTAGTCTTTTAGTTCCTTGTCTGATTTTGCCTCATTGTATTTTTAGAAAAATAAATTGGATTTCAATAAAGTAGTTAATCTTGAATGACTGTATTATACAGTACTGTACTGTATTTGTAATACAAAATCACACATGGAACATTACCAATTTTACATTAATATCATAAACATCAAACATGAAAGCAGGGTATTCAGCTATGCAAGTCTAATTAATTTATTAAATGCCTATAAAGAGTTAATTATGTAGGAGAGTATTATATTTATTCCCATATGGAGACTTTGGTGCCTTAGACTTTTAAACCTCAAGAAGCAATACTTGTACAGTGGGGTATGCTATAACGAACATAATTGGTTCCAGAACCTCGTTCGTTATAGCATTCGTTCGTTATAGGATTAATCCGTTCCAGGCCCCCAAATACAACCACTTAACACTGAAACAATTCTGTGGAAAATGTAAAAAATACGGTACTTTATCTTACTTTAGTGTTTTTCAGCATGCAGGTACCCCTAAACACTGGCACATCACTATCACTTCCACTGGGAGTCTTGGCTTTAAGGTCCTCAAACAATTGTTTAGCCTTCTCACAAATTATAGCTTCACTAATGTTACCACCTGCCATTTCTTTCTCCTTTATCCACACTAAGAGTAAATTTTCCATCTCTTCAATCACATTACACTTTGCTTTGCTAAGTCTAAAGATTCCCTTAGCCACTTGCACAGTTTTTAACTCCTCTTTATTCTTCAAAATCGTACATATAGTCGATTTAGCCATCCCATATTCATCACTAATTTCGCAATGCTTCTTCCATTCTCACGTTTCTTTACAATTTCTTTCTTAGTTTCAAGGGTTATTAGCTTTCTCACTCGCTTTGGACGACTCATTGTTACAATTGTATACTTGTATAACAAAATAGTTATACAAATAACGCGAATTTCCACATCAAAAGACGAAATTTCAACAATAACAGTGGTGCACTGGCTACACAATGAGACAAAGATGGCGCCTGACGCTCTTGTTGTGGGTCGCGGTACAACAATATTCATGCGCCAGGCGAAATAGTCCCGTATTCATCCGCGTTCGTTGTAGGAGTTGCGTTCGTTATAGCATTCTCAATTTTATAGGTAAAACCGTTCGTTATAGGAATATTCGTAGTAGGATCCGTTCGTTATAGCATACCCCACTGTAGTTAGTTGGGATCACTTGAAGATTAGACACGTAATCCTAACCTAACCTAAGCTAACGGAATTTGGTGAGGTATTAGTCTAGCTCAGTTGTACACCTAAATTAGTTGTTCTCTTTTTTTATTCTTTATCCTCTTCGCTACTGTCAACGTGCTAGTTGCTTGGACGGTTGATCACCGCTCTGTAATGCACTTTTGGCAAGTACTGGGTTTGCAATGGCTCCAGAACATAACTGAACTTGTGCCATCGTTGGCTGAGTGTGGTCTTAATGATTTTACACTTGGTACTGTCACAGCACTGGCAGTTTATTCCAAGAATTCACTCTCTAGAAAATTTGCCCTGACAATTTTCTGAACTTGTGGTTTTTTTTTACCTAAGGCTTTGACCTTTAATGGGTTAGGCATCCACTAGCTCCAGGTATGAACACTCGACTGAATTATGTCCTCTTGAGGTGCTTATACAATATACTTGTCCATCTAAAGTATAAGCTTGGCAACTGCAAGCATTTTAATCCCTTTGGGTACCTGAGATGCCAGAGTGCAGGCACCATTTTGTAAACCTCTATTGGACATTTTCAAGCAGCTGAGTCTCTTATCATATCTTGGGGACCAGAGGGAGTGACAGGAGCGTGGTCTGCCCCCCCCCCCCACGACTAACTTCCGTTGACGTAATAAATGTTTACCTGTAGTGTATTCTCTTGATGTTTTTGACCTATGATAATCATTTCTTTTATTTTATTTTTATTTTTGGCACATTCTATATCAATGATTGTCTGTGCACTTAACAGTAAAAAATAAATGAATAAAATTACGTTTCTTTACCCGAAACTACAAGTTGAAAAAGAACAATAAAGCAGCTCATAGCTTGGCCTAGTAGGGAGAAACTCAGATCCCCAACACCACACCCTACTCCCACTCTCCCCTTCCCCTCCCACGAGCCGACACTAAGTCCCATGAATGTAAAAAAATGTTTATACTCTTTGGTTTTGGCCTTATGATAATAATTTCTTTAATTTTTTATGCATTCTGTATGAACGATTGTGTGCATGTACAAGTAACAGTAAAAAGAAAAGGAATAATCACTGATTGATTGTGGTAATTACATCCCTGGCGACGCAACAGCTTAGGTCGTATGTCACCAAATTAAAATTGAGGTTTAAATGACTAAATTAAAAGTAATGCAAGTTAAAAACGCAGTAAATAACAGAACTTTCATAAAACCATTTAAATGTTAAAAATAAAACTCAAAGCTTGTGTAGAAGGCTGGCTTTCTCCACAAAGGAGAGGACGTCCCCTCCCACGATACCCGCTCCTCCCCCCAGCACCAAAGAAAGACGGTGAGACCCATCTCTCCCTCGGCGCTGGGAGAGGTGCTTACAATGAAAATCTCTGAGACTGGGGCATTCCACCAAGAGGTGTTTAGCAGTCAATGGAACTAGCTAGTCATCACAAAGAGGAGGGGGTGCCCTCCACTAAAAATTACGAGTCAGCCATGTGTGGTCAATGCGAAGGCGAGCCACAGCAGTCTTTCGGCTGCGTGACAGTTCCTGATATCCCCAGGCATTCAGTGCAAGGTATATGTCGCGGAACTTGTATGCTCCAACAATATCCCACCTGTATTTCCAACTCGAGTGGATGGCAGCTCTTATTACAGTACTGGTTACAAATTATCAGAGGCAGGTAGAAAGGAATGATGTTGTATTAGCCCCCTAATTTTTATATAAATGTGGGTCAGTGCATTAAAGCTTATAAAATCATATCACCCCCTGTAACTTTCCACTAACTATGACGTGACGTGGTTACATCACGTGATGGGTAAGTTCTACCCTTGAGACGGGGCCCTATAATGCTAAGTCAGCTAATAGAAGCCGGCTACACCGGGCATTCTCACTCAACTCTCACATCGACAGGACGTATTTGGTAGAGCTATTTAAGATAGCTTCCGTCCTCATTTAACACTCATAGCTACAGTGGTTAAGTTACGGTGATATACACTTGGAACTGTATATAATATATTTTCCTAAAATGAAGAAAAGAACTACCTGTATTTGGGTTTTGCGACTAAAACCCAATGAATTTTTACATGTTCTAATGCTATTAACTAATCAAGAGTAAATGGTTTAGGGCCAGAAACAATGTGCTACAGGGTGAGAAGCAGCTGCCATCACCATGGCATCAGCATGCTCATTCCCCTTCTCTCCCACATGAGCAGGAACCCAGCAAAAACTGACTTTCCTGCCCTGTCATTAGATGAGAAACAGCCACTATAAAATATCTATAACTAAGGGATATGGCAAGTAAAATACCCAAAAGCTCTGTAGTAAAAATTGATGCCATAGTGGGGAGAGTACCGTTCCGTCAGAAATCAGGAAAGACCACCCCAAAACCCACGCCTGCATCTGACTTAGTGCTGCCGGTGTATACAGGAATAGTCCCCCTGTGAGAGGAGGCATGCTCAAAAAAAAAAAAAAATGAACCACACAGGGAGAGATTAAGTCCTTCTTATAATTAAAATACTGACAAACTTGAACTTCAGGGAGAATTCATGGGGCAGTACTAGGGAACTGTATTGGACATATCTGAGCAGGAGGAAGACAAAGAATTCTCACAACTTCCCTTACCCTGAAGCCAAAAAGTCGTGGGAGGCCTGGATGCTTAGTGTAGTTTGGGGACAAAGTCTCTTCAACGACACAAGTGTTGGTTACAGACTGCGGAAGACGGTGGAGGCAAACCCGACACTGGACCTGGAGGTACTGTCGTCGAAGATCAAGGGGTGGCTTGTCAGCATCAACTAGCAGACTCGGGATTGGCGAAGACCTAAAAGCACCGGTCGCCAGGTGCACCCCAGCATGATGAATAGAGTTCAGTGTATTGAGTCTAGTCTCAGTGGCAGAGGAGTACACCTCACACCCATAATCCAGTTTGGGTCAAACTAGAATGTGGTAAAGGTGTAGCAGAGTTCCTCAGTCTGCACCCCTTGATGTGTGCCTCAAGATTCTCAGTAACTTGAAAACACACTGGCAAGACTCTTTGAGGTAACGAATATGTGGCTGCCATGTATACTGGTTGCCGAAGATAATGCCCAAGAAACAGGTCTTTGTGACATACTGCACGCAACGACCATAGAGCTGTAGATTGGGATATTGGTGAATACCTCAAAGGCAGCTGAAATGCATGGCAACGGTTTTCAAGAGAAAACTGAAACCATGCTCTGTGATCCAATGTGAAAAATTGTCTTGTGCAAGTTGCATGTGACTTTCAGCCACTGACTTGTGGGAAGCTGCATATCAAATGGCCAAGTCGTCTACATACAATGAGACTGATACACCACCTGGAACCAATGCTGCTACCCCATTTATTGTGATGGCAAATAAGGTCACACTCAAGACACTGCCCCGAGGAACCCCGTCCTCCTGAATATGTGGTGTTGACATTTCTGTGGCTATGCGGACTCTAAAAGTGCGACGTCCCCAAAAATGACCTATTATTGATGGTAAATTTCCCCGCAGCCCAAAATTGTGAAGCTCCTTAAGGATGCCAATACAGGCAAAAGAAATAATTGCTCTAAGGGCAAACACATAAAGGGGATATACATTACTTTGTACACAAGTAAAAATGTAAACCCCCCCCCAACCCCCCCGGTCCGCAAATGTCATTTCTGGATTTGGCAATTTGCGGCCATTTTGAGAACCTAACCCCAGAGAATTTGGGGGGCCCCCTGTACAGGTAAAGGAAATTACTGTCAAAAGAACGAATGGTTCCCTGTCCCAGCGGCGAAAATGCTGACAACTTTAAAACTGCCCACAGACATTCTTGGGTGCATGCAGGGTGCCATCTGTGAATAATAGAGGACCGCAAAATAAAGATCTGCGAACTTTGGGGGACCCCCTGTATTACTGTTGAATAAATTTATATGATTCACACAAAAAATGTCTGAGCAGATCAGAAATGGTTTGACTTTCTGGGTTTCAGAAGTACTGTACTGTACAGTAATGGCATTCAAAATACAGTACTGTATTAATATTTTACTGTGTATTATTTTATCACTTATATTAGTGTATTAGCAGTGAATAACAACAGATTATCTTTTTCTTTTTAGTTTCTGATTGGCCGCAACAATTCATGTGACTTCACTTTCACAAGTCCTCACATCTCCAGAAAACATTGTGAGATCCTACGTGTTCCTCCTCGTGGCACACTTATCATTAAAAATCTCAAGGTACAGTAGCTTGTTCCAGTAATTGTTTGGTCTTTGTACAGACAGTGTATATTCAACAAATGCTGTAGAGTTTATGTATTATCCACCACTGAAAATATGAACGTTTATTTAGAATCACCCTTTCTTCCCTCCTCCAAACACTTAGATTATCATGTATAGTAGTACTATATTTTTACCCATACTAGTATTAGTGTCAAAGGCCCATAACTGGAGATGCATATAAAAAATCAGCACTAACTTACTTTTAAATACTGTACAGGTAATCCTCGATATACAAAACAAATAGGAAAAATAGGGTTTGATTCCCCAATGAAAAAATACCCCAATTAAATATCATACCCCAAAAAACATGTACAGTAATCATTTCACAAACAAAAGAAAACCTACGTACAGTAACTAATAATAAATACTGTCGTACACAACTACTGTAATTTACTACCTAACACATTAAAAACATTATTAAAATACTATTTAGGTGAAAATATGTAGCTAAAATTATTGAGGAAAAGCTAAATCAAAGTTTAACACAGCTGCCAGTGGCACTATTTGCATAGGAGCTGGCTTCTTCATTTGTGGCCGCCCTCAAGTGTTGCCATAGCAGTGCAGCCTGGCTGCCTCTGCTGACACCTTAGCAATGCTCCCCCCCTCACCATTCTCATGCACCTCATGCACAATTTTTTTTTCTTTTCTTTATGTTTCTGACCTTATGATAGTTACAGCAAAACCCTCTTAATCCAGACTAATTGGGGTGGGGGGAGAATCCAGTCCAAATTAAGGGAATTTCTGGATAAAACCTAAAACAAACACCAGAGTGATAGAACTTAATTTAACAGCATTTAAAGGAAATGTAAAGTGCTAAGTGCAAAGGAAAAAATGTGCAAAACTGAAAGTCCACAACTCTGTGTGTGATTTCATTGTGGCTGACTCAAAGTGATTAAAAAGCGGTGCCTTAAAAAGTCATTGGAGAAAAGGCAGCACTCAGAGGCGCATAAAGTTCTTAAACCCGTCAGCCATCATCCCAGCTCAGTCAGTTGATGATCAACTCACTCTCCATCGTGCATTTAGTGGCAATATCCACACCTCCAGCCATTTCTTGACTTCCAAATTACACACTTTCTCTTACAACTCTACACCTTTATTGCACATAATTAGCATATTAAATTTAAGAATGGAGAATCAATATACATTATTTGATTCAGTTTACCACATACTGTATTAAATGAGAAAAATTGGACAATTAGATAATTGACTCAGTGACTGCATGTGGCGATGTGAGTGATTAGTCATTCATCTTCATGTGAGTAAGGAATAAGTTATTGGTGATTGAAGGAGAATGTTGACATATTGAAAGCTTACACTTATGTAGACTTAATAAACATTGTGAGTGTTAGGGAATAACGAAATACTTTACTGTTAGCATACTGGTAGTGAAAAATTGCATTATTTTAGCATATTTTCATTAGTACCCTCTAAAAAAATATTCTTTTGGGGTTTTTTGCTCATAATCAAAGCATGCAATTTTTTTCATTACACTGACTTTCCATAAATCAAATCCTGGTAAATAGGGGTCTACATATACTTCACCAATAAACTTATAACACTTGTTATGATCCTGTCTCCTGGAAATATAACAACTGTATGGGTAAAAATGTAGCAAGGTTCTTACAGTACTTGGGTGTGTAATAATTTGATGATGATTTGAATAAACAAAGGATTGTATTAAGAGGTTTAATATGGGCAGAACGCTCATTGAGACAAAACCTTTCATGAAGACAATGCTCAGCTTACTTTAAACAACTTAATATATTATGAAAAATAAATAAATGTTACCATTTTAGATCACTTGATCATTCCCTCTGTTTTTAAAGAATACATTATATTCTTCAGGGCAGCAACACTACCTACATTGATGAATTGCAGCTCAAGAGTGTTGATAACTTTGCAGAACTTCGAATTGGATGTAAGATAGGGTTAGGTGTTCCTCTTTCCCAAACCCAGGGTGATGGGGTGAAAAATGATAAATTTGTCTTTCTACGGCTCTGTGATGCTCAGGCCGAAGAGCAGTCATATGTAAGTACCATAAAGATATACCTAACTGTCTTAACTTGGCCTAAAGGTATCATTACCTAAGTTAATATGGCTTTATATAATTTATTCTAATCTAACAAGTCCTAACCTAACCCATCCAACCTATCTTAATATAACAAAACTTAATAAAAACCAGTCTAACTAATCTAATTAAAGGTAATCTATTCTAAATTAACCTAAATACCTTAATCTAACTTAGTCTAATATAACCTAATCAATCTAACTAAGCCTAATTTAATCTCGTGTATCTTTAACTAATCTTAGCAAAACTAACCTACTCATACTTAATCTATTCGAATCCAGGCACACCTAACTTAATGTAACCTAAAACTTAATGTAACCTAATCAATGAGTTTATTCTAAAATTTCCAAACTGGTGTTAGAATTCTGACACAGTACACACACAAGCAATCCTCACTATATGAAAGTTATGCATTATGGAGAAGTCGTGTAAAAATTTAAAATTCGTTTAGTGAAAGCCATTTTATCCAAGAGACATTTATTTATAGTTCAGGGATGATTATAACCCAATTATCTTACTCCTGAAATTTCTCGTAGGTTCCTTGTGCAGAGAAGGACACTGGCACAGAAGCCAGCTACACCTATCTGCAGAAGGAGGGAGAGTTGTACTCAGATGTAGGTGTAGGTTCCATATACAGTAAGTCCTCGCTTAACGTCGGGGTTACGTTCCTAAAAACGTGACGTTATACAAAACAACGTTAAGCGGATCAATTGTCCCCAGAAGAAATAGATAAAATACGGGAGTTACGTTCCTGAGCCTCCCTTTGCCCGATGAAATACATTACATATACAGAAAGTCATTGCCATTTCTATAGAAAATAATGCATACATACAGGGTATACAAGTACTAAGTTTGTGTTGGTACTCACCGATGGGCAGAGGTGGTAGAGTGAGTGTGTGGTGGGTAGTGAAGCAGAGGAGGCGGATGGCAGGAGGGGAGGAGTATGGTGGGAGCGGAGGAGGAGGGTGGTGAGTCACTGAGACTCTGCACCAAGCCGAGAGAGCATAGCACGGCCAGATGAGAGAGGGTAGTCTGTGACGACGCAAAACAACGTAGTGTCGGATCACCGGGACGTTAAACGAATTTTTGGTCTAAAGTTTAGCGACGTAGTACCGAAACCGCAAAGCGGGATGACATTAAGCGTTGACTTACTGTATCTCTAAAATGCAGATAACCCAGATCATTAACCGAACAACATAGGGATGGTCCTAGATGCCTGTGTTAGCTACTGCAGCAGCTTCCAATGATAAACATTTTTTATTCTTTTATTTGGGGGTGTTTGTATAATAAAATACAGGATAAAAATTACCAACAACAGAAGTCATTGATACAACACCATGGGTTGGCCAAATAATAGTGCACTACCAGCACAATGAACCCTATTCTGTGAAGTGGTGCTGGTGATGCAGTCAAAAATAGCATGTGGGGAACTTTTTAATTTGCAAGACAGGAAAAAATGTGCATTAGTGACAAGACTTTTGCAGAGTAAAATGTTATCGTTAGTTTATAAATCTCATATATGCAATAGTACTGTATACATACAGTAGGTATAGTGAGGACTGCTTGTATACTTTAATTTTATACCAAGTGATAAGACTGTACTGTACATTGAATTTATCAGTAGATAATAAGATATGAATGAAAATTTAAATTTTCATTATTGTTACAAATTACAGTTGTTTTAGAAGTAACCTTATACTGTACTGTACTTGTTTTATGTAATTTAGATTAATGTAACTGTAAAATCTAACAAAAAGGTCATTAACTAATCTTACAGAATGAGAAACTGCAGCAACATCTTGCTGACCTCTCATACAGTGGCCCATCTGCTGCAGTTCAAGATTCTATACCACATGCTGATCCTCAGAAATGTGGTCCTGCCCAGCAAGCTGGACCCCAGAATCAAACTATGCCCGGTGTGCGTCTCACTCCACAACCTGGACCAGCCAGGCAAGCTATCCAAGAATTGCCAGGATTGTTAAATCTCTTGAAGTCTCATACAAATGTCACATCTGACAGTGCTCCAACCTCATTGCTTCAAAATACAGATACAAAGCCATTTACTTCAACTCCACTGCCGCAGGTTATTCACCCAATACCTCCATTGCAGAAATTACACCCATCAACATATCAGTCTTTGTCTTGGGCCCAAAATAGAATCCAAGAACCTTTATCAGAATTGCACTTGCAAAGTACTTACAATGAAGACCATAGTCATACAGACAGACAGAGATTACACAGTGTTAACACACCATCTGCTGCACCTAACAATGTGCAGCCAGCAAAAACGTTTGGAGGTGCTCCATACAAGTCAGAACTATGGGAAAAAGTTGATGCACTTAAAGCAACCCACTCAGAATATAATCCCCAGCCAGGATTATGCCAAGTTCAAAGGGACCAACAGGTGTGTGAGACCAGTCATGGACCTTGTAAACGAATTTTGAGCAAAAAAGATCATGATGAGAGTGTCCCAGGGAAGCTGCAGAGGCTGGGAGCAGTGTATGGAGATTATGTTGGAACATCCCAGCAAAATAATTCTAAACAAATTAATTTATTAAATTCACAACTGAAAGAAGGTGGAGCTGATCCATCTCAGCTTCAGGTATTCAACAGATCTGCCTTGGGCGAATATACGCAAACTCAAAAACCTGATAATAAGTCTCGACACCAAGGGGAAGGGCCAGGAGCTGTAATGTGTGAACACTCATTAGGAATGGAACATTTAGGTAATACCCACAGTAGTGATCATCATCAATCAGTACCCCTGATGCTTAGTTCTTCAGTGGAAAAAAGACTACAGTCTCCTATGGAGGATGGTAACCAACAAGAAAAGGTGTCTGTTTCAGTGGAGGCTCCTCAGTCAGTCTGTTCTCTTTTGACTGAATCTGGATCTTCTCAAAGTCCTTCCAGGATATTTTCCCAATTCAAACAAACTTCAGAAGATTCAAGAGTCGCATTATCACTGAATAAAGATTTAGCACCTTTGGTTCATGTTTCAAATTGGAAGCAAATTCGTAGACATTCCAGGGATGTACTTCCACAAAGCGTAATTCCTGATGACTCCCAAATTGAACATACATCGCAACATGGAAATGGTTTACAGACCACTAAAACTTCTGAAGAATTTAATTTAATTATACAACAGAGTTCCTCTAAGCTAAAGGTCATCTCTGAGAAAAAATTAGCCTTGAATTGTAGTAATATAGATCAAACTACAAAGGTTCAACAGTTTTCCAGTAGTACAAGAAGAGATTCAATGACAGACAAATTAGTCTCTTCAAATGTTAGTTCTTGTAATATTGATCCAAACTGTAAACAAAGTGTTGTAGACTCATGTGACAAACAAGATGCTGCTCAATTGAATATGTCACTTGAACAGCAAGCAGTAGTAACCCAGGAGAAACAAAGGGATCTTTTCAACAAGAGTCCTGTATTTACCAGGAAAGATAACAAACATTACATCATAGAGGATAATAACAAACAAACTAACAGAAATTTAGCAGCTCTCCCACTTGGCTCTCAACAGTTTTCAAATGTGGACACAAGATCAAAAGAAAGCTGTAATCCAGCTGATGGTTTAGTTTCACCTTGTAGTATTGACCTTACTCAGACAGACCCAGAACACACTGAAGAGAGTGATAATGCTAGTGATGATAACATTGAAAATTGGATACATAATAAAGATAAACATGTGAAGTATGAAAATGTAGATGATATTGTGTTCATTTGTGATTCCAAAGAGGATTCTTCTTCGGTGGAAAATCAAAATTTCTCTGGCAAGAGGAATATAACTATTCATGAGGAAATAAATGTTGATGATGATTCAAATAAAGGTCAGCATAGTGAGTCAATAAAGTCAGAGAGTGATGTGCAAGTGGTTGACTTGGGCAGTACTTGCGATTCTGAGTTACTGTTGCAGCACAGGAAAACTAAGAAAAGAAGTTTAGTCATTAACTCTGATTCCAGTTCTGATTCTTTTTCTGTGGAAAAGAAAGATTTCTCTGGAAAGAGGAAGAGAAGTATTCATGAGGAAATATATGTTGATTTTTGTGATATTGATTCAAATAAAGGTCATCATAGTAAGTCAATAAAGTCAGAGAGTGATGTGCAAGTGGTTGATTTAATCAGTACTTGTGATTCTGAGTTACTGTTGCAGCACAGGAAAACTAAGAAAAGGAGAAGTTTAGTCATTGACTCTGACAGTAATTCCAGTAATGAGGCAGACATTAATTCCAAAACTCTGTCCTCACGTGAACCAGTTGTCTTTCCGTCACTTTTAGAAGACTGCCTATATAGAAAATGTGTTGTTGCTGTGGAAAGAGTACCTTATCCTGGCATATATGATGTGGATACAGTTAAAACTAGCATGGTTATTAAATCACCTAACTTAACTGTTAACTGTCCATTGTCACAGACAAGCTCCCACTTTAATGAAACATGTGTAAACACCCCAGTACAAAAGTCTTACCTCACACATGATGACGACGATGATGAATTGCCTGACATAGATATTTTTTCTGTACCAAAGAAGATTTTATCTTGTTCACCTTTGTTGTCAGGTTCTTCAGAGTGTAAAGAATTAAAAAAACATAAAGAAAATAAATCTATAAACTTAGTAAAAGGAAGTCAAGGAAAAGACAAAGAGGATGTAACAGACAGTAAGAAACATATAACTGGAAGAAAACACAGACAATCGGACTCATATGACAGTTCTGACACTAAACAGGACAAAGATGTGCATAAGTATAAGAAGCAAACTCTGTGTTCAACGAGAGACATCCCAGAAAAGAAGAATCCTTCAACAATGGGAACTGAGAAAAATGATCCTCCGAGTGATAAGGGCTACAGTAAAAGTCATTCTGTATTGAGTTGTACTAGTACAGGTACCGGTATTGATAATATATCTGAAAATTTGTCTATGCCTTCTGTGTCTAGAAAGACAAAAATTAGTGAATCTGAACCAACAGTATTGAGGACACGTGGTGAGCAAGATGCTGTATCGGATGCGACCTGCCCTAATGTCTTTGACAAATCCAAACTGCTTCTAAATGTTGCAATAAAACAAGAAAAAACAGAGGAAGCGCAGGTGAAGGATATTAAAATAAAGAAAGAGAAAGGTGAGGAGGATGGTGTGCTTATAAAGAAAGAGAAAGGTGAGGAGGATGGTGTGCTTATAAAGAAAGAGTTTGACCAAAATCTTAATGCAGTGGATGAAGATGGCGATAATGATGGTGTCATTTTCATGTATTCACAAGTGGATGAAACTATCTGGGTGTCAAGTGACGAAGAGGAATCTCCATCACAGAATGACATCTCTTTTGGTCCCTTACCTCGAAGCCCTGACTTGGATATTGATGAACTGTTTAGAGAAGATGAAGAACAGAAATTAAGACAGAATGCTTCAGGCATCTCAACAAATAGTACACCAGAGGAGGCTGTGACTGATGACCAATGGTTCCCTATTCTGTCTCAGTCCTTCTTTGATGATGACGATGACTTTGTTAATCAGCCTGTTGAATCTGCTAAAGGCCCAGCACTTCCTGAACCTTTACCAGGCCCCAGTGGATTAAATGAAATGACTGAAGACAATGATGAAAGTATTGGTGAATGGTGGCCAGAACTTTCACAGCAATTTTTTGATGATGATCTTGACAACAGTAAGATACATGGTGCATCTAAAAGTGATGTTACACTTTCAGGTAGCTCCAAGAACCTTGATACTGTTATTGAAAAACTAAGAAATACAAACAAACGAAGAAGCCAACTAACAGACCCTAAATTGCCACCTACACGTACAAAAAGTGACAACCTCAGGAGAAGAGGGAAAAGCTGCCAAGAATTTTATGGAAAACACTATCGATACAATGAGGATAATTTATTGAGCACTGCTGATAGGAGGGATGAAACTGGGGTTAGAGGTGAAAGGATTTCAAGGGAAAGAAAATCTAGGAAGGACTCTAGCTGGAAAAGAGTGATTACTCCACCTCAGAAACAGAAATGCAAGAAAGGTTCTGCTTTAAGGGCTAATTTAACTTCTAAATTTAATCTTGTTTCCTATAAAGCAACAGTGGAACATAAACCTAGGGAAAAACATCATCTTGTTCCCAAAATAAAAGTTGAAAACAAAGAGAAAAAAGTTGAAGAGAAGCAAAAAGAAGCACACCAAAAGAAAAGGGAAGCACACCAAAAGAAATCTCACTTGGTAACTGATCGGCCACGTGCTGGTGAAAATATTTCCATCCAGAAGAAAACCGAACGAAAAGATTCCGGGAACCAAGAAAAGCCTCGACCGAAGGTGGCAGCCAAGGTTACTAAAAAAACTCGCTCCGAGAGGCTAATTGATGTAGATCTTTTTACAGCTCTTGCAGTGCCAACACCAAAGCCCCAAAAACTGTCTTTCAAAATCCCCAAAAACTGTGATAAGACTGTTGACAAAATGATTAAATCATTGTCTGGTAGTGTTAGTGCACCCAGCACCTCAGTAGGCAGTTCTCTTGTGTTAGTTAAGCCTAGTGCAGGAGAGCTGGATACCAATCCACCTCCAAGGGTGGAACCAGAAATGCGTGTTGGTACTGAAAATATTGACGGGGATACCACATTGTTGCTGCAGCCACCAGTACTTAAAGAGCAAATTGTTAATAAGAGTGAAAAAGAACAAAAAGGTATTTTAAAATTTATTGCAATAAGTGGTAGTACACAGAAGAAAAAAGTGCATTTTCCTACAAGGTTGGAGGATCTTGTAGACACATTACATATATCGCCTCGTAAAAACCATGAGAGGACTGGGGCTCTCGAAGTGAAAGCACGAGAAGTGTTGCCCATGGAAGTTGTGTTGCAAAAGTATCACATTTCTTCAAACTATATGGACCAATTCATACATCATATCTGTAGATGGAATTATGACTGGCTGGAGGTTTACCGAGCTGGACAGGTGAAACAAGAAACAAGTGGGAAAGGTAGTGCACTACGTCCACCACCAGTAGCTCTAAACACCAACTACCCAACCCTGATACTTTATAACTCCTACAGTGATTACAAGGAAATATTCAGCAATCTTATGTATTTAGAGATTTGGGAGAGTGTTTATCAAGATTGGCTAAAGTACAAGCAGTCCAATGTGTGGCTTCCCACACAAATTGATGTTTTTCATCCAGACTTTATTGAAATTGGAACAGGCTCTCTAAAGTTTTGGAAACTCAAGATGTTTACATTAATCACTCAAGATCAGAGCTTTAAAGGTCAACATCCCAGACAGGGGAGTCTCATTTCTCTCAGGATCCAAGAGGGGGCCAAAAAGATCCACATCTTTGGTCATGTGGACCATTTTATGAAACACCGGAAAGTCATGGTAACAAAAGAACTGCAGCAAGCGTGTCCAAATGGTGAAGTGTGTCTTATGATGGGGGTGAGGGTTACCAAGGATGTTATACAGAAAGCTACAAATGGAAAACTTATTATGATCAGTAATGTTTCTTACATTCGGCCAAGCACTCGTATGTGGGAAGGCTTGTGTAAACTACCTCTGTCTCCACTTTGTGAAGATATCCTTCAACCAAGCAAAGATGTGTTCATGGGTGATCGTATGTTCGACCAGTATCTGGTTAATGGACTTCATCTTAATGATGTACAGAAGAAGGCAGTTGTGGAAGTAAGTAATAAATGTGTTTCCAATTACCACATTCCAAAGATGAGCTTGATACATGGGCCGCCAGGCACAGGTAAAACACGCACCATCGTAGGACTTATTGCCCAAATGGTTCAGTTGTGTTGTGAAAACGGGCTGCCCGTTTGCCGTATTTTGTTGTGCGCCCCATCTAATGCGGCTGTTGATGAGCTGACTTTGAGGCTTATCAGGCTACGGGAGATTGGCATATGTTTACGTGTTGTAAGAGTTTGTTCCAGGGAGGTTATCAACCCAGAAATTAAAAATTGCACTTTAGATTCCTTTGTGGAAAAACAAATCAAAGTTGAACTTTCAACTCCCCAAAATCCTTCCACCAAGCAAGAATGGGAGAGGAGGAAGGCCATTGTGGAAGAGGCTGCCACCAGTCTCCAAAATGCCATGAAGGGAAACAGAAGCAAAGAGGAAATCAGACAGATGGAAATTCGCCTCACTGAGTTAGTTCGATCTAGAACTGATTTTGAGAGAAGTTTTCATACACAGCCAACTGCACAAGAAAAGCATCAGCTGCAACAGAAGTGGCAGCAAAAAATTCTTCTCAATGCAGAAGTCATAACAACTACTCTTGGAGGTTGTTTATCTGGAATTATGTCTGATGTGTTTTGTAAAAAGCCAAATAATTTTACTTGCTGTATCATTGATGAAGCAGGACAGTGCAAGGAAACAGAAACGTGGCTACCACTTCTACTTGGAGTCCGTAAACTGGTTCTGGTTGGAGATCATCGGCAGCTCCCAGCTACAGTATTATCTCGCCTGGCTCAGGTCAAGAATCTCAAGCAGTCATTGTTTGAACGGTTGTATCATCGCTTTGTTATTGAACTTCAATTGGACAGTTGTGTACACACTCTAAGTATACAATATCGAATGCATCCAGAGATTGCTATGTGGCCATCTCTTCACTTCTACTCGGGAAGGCTCACCACTAGTGCTGACATCATTCAGGAGCGTACCAGCGACCTCAAGCCATATGTGGTATTTGATTTGAAGGTTAGTAAAAGTAAGGTATTTTTGTAAGGAAAACTTATTCTTGAACAGTTGTGGTTTTGCTCATAATATGAATGGTTGTTATTTTTAAAGTATCTTTCTCTGTACCAAAAATTTGACACCTGAGATTACGCCTTACACCCTTCCATATAACTAATTCCTTTAAACTTTTTTCCTGCTGTAATAATTTATAAGGTAGCTGTAATCAAGAGTTAACACTCACTTCCTTTATTAGCTGTTATTCTTTCACTCTTACATCTACCTGGTCCATCACTATTATCTCATACAACCAAGCATCATCCATCACCAGTATTTACATCCCCAAAAGCCACTTGTTATCATGTTCTTTGGTTAATCTCATACACAGAGCTGCCTCCTGGATGTCCATCTCATTTACTTTTAATGCACCCTTCACCTCATCCTTGGTTTTCCTTTCCTATCATCCATCTCAGAATTATGCAATCTTTTGCTTCCCATTTTCCATGTCCTTTCCACCTTAGGAAACCCCAATCTTTCTTCTTACATTCAGTCCATGTTTCACTCATATACAATGATGTTGGTTCAATGAGTCCACAGTACACTCCTAACTTTGCCTCCTTTGAAACAGATCTCTTTCTCCATTTATTTCTCATAGAACCTGTCACTTTCTTTCCCTTTCCTGCTCAGTGGTTTCTCACTCATTGTTCCATTTGACAATTTACCCACACTCAGATACAGTACAGTATCTGAAACACCTCACTTCCCAGTTTAATTTCCTTTCAAGCTAATATTCTCCCAGTCTCCCTTGTGTCTTTATCAGTATCACTGTACTCTTGTTTGCATTTAGTACAGTACTGTATTTCTCCCAGTACAGGTATACCCCGTAAACCAATGTCCCCTGAACCGTCGCTTCGCATAACCGATGATTATATTTTAGGGAAATACTTTGCAAGTTTTGCCGACTAACCCCGTTGATCCGACAATTGGAAGAGGAGCAGCAGAGTGCTTTTGAGTTTGTGCGATGGCTTCGTGTGAATTCTTGCCATGAGCACACAAATTTGTATTTCGTGAATTATCAAGACTAGAGTGTATATGTTGTTTGTATCACTCTCTTCTCTTCTCTAATCTTCTTCTCTTCTCTACGGGGTACTTTCTTTTCTCCTATCTTTTTTCTCTTCTCTAATCTTCTTTCTTTTCTATTTTCTTCTTTCTTTTCTCTTCGACTTTGTGTGTTATGCAATCATGTTTAATTGCCCCAGCAATACTTCCTCTTCTGTTTAACTCATAAATGATGTCTAGCATTTAAAGTAGAGTACAGGAGGTCCCCGACTTACAAACTCTCGCTGATACGAATGGGGTTAAACTTGAAATTTACAGTATTTTATTTACCTGATGACTTCTTTTTTTAATTTAATTTACAGTGGTCCCTCGGTTAACAAACACAATTCGTTCCAGAAGGTCATTCGTTAACCGAAACCATTGTTTCAATGGGATTTTGGGTAATTGGTTCCAGCTCACCGAAAATTACATACAAACTAAAAATAAATGCAGTAAAGTACACTTACTTTGAGGTGTGCGTGTAGAAGACTCCTGGTTGATGATGATGATGATGGGAATTAGAAGTGGGGGTGGAGGAGAAGGGAGAAGAGAAGGCATTGGGGTGGAAGAGAAGACACCCCATGCTTCATGTCGCCATTTCACCCATAAAATTTTAGTTCACTTGGTGTAATTCAAGATTATTTTCTTTAAATCAACACTGCACTGCATTATATATTGTCAATATGTAAAATAAACTTCAGAATGACCAATAATTGTACTGTAAAAATGTAAAAATAGTTTATGTTCAAGAGAGTCTCAAGCAAGATGCTTCCTCCACTGAACAGGGACACACACTGACGCCATTTTGGGTGAGTCAAGTGGCTGTTTGGCATGCCAAAAAACTAGTTCCCTGTACTTCAATTATGTTAAATAATTGTTAAAATTACTAAAAACTTTAATGTAAGACTTGGAATTTTTTTTAATAGTACAACCCTCTTGATATTTACTCAAAAGGTAACGAATTTAAGCCCTAGAACCGATTACTGTATTGGCGGACTAATACTACAGCTGGTGAGCAGCCGAAAGCAAGCGACAACATGTTGGGAAAAATTCGTAAGGAATTCATTAACCGAAATTTTTTCGTAAACCGAAGTGAAGAATCTTATGGAAGTTAATTCGTTAACCGAGGCGTTCGTTAACCTGAGGGATCACTGTATACTATATTTTGTCATTATTTCTTCTTTTATCTTAAATTAAGCAATTTTAGATGTATATAAGGACTTAAGCTATGATATAGTCATTAAAGTGGGATTTTAAAAATTGTTTTGTAAGTACGGTATGCATATAGCAATTATAGCATGTGTTCCGACTTACGTACAAATCCGACTTATGAACGTCCTCAGGAACGGAACCTGTTCTTAATCCAGGGACCCCTGTACTGTACAGTATATATTGTCTTTAATGGGATAGTGTAGTCTAATCAGATTTCACCTCCCCTTCTTCCTTCCCTCTCTCTCCCCCCATCCCAGCCAGGGTTTGGTGGTTATATCTTATATAATATCACAGACTAAAGTTAGGAGACTATAATTTGCATTGCTAGAATCCTTGCAAGACAGCGAATAATTTGAATATAAACATCATATATTTTGCACGAGAAAAAATTTATCCCTTTGTAATAAAATTAATTAAAACTAAAATGTGTATGTGTAATGCAAACTATAGCATGTATACAGGTATATTCAAACTAATCACTATCTTATAAGAATTCCAGCAATGTTAATTATATTCTCCCATGTCAGGTCAGTGACATTTTATAAGAGAAAAACTTAGTCACTCTTAAGGATAGATAAATAAATAAGCACTAGACCTTGGCATCAACTGTCAAACATATCACCTCACCCCCCCATCTTCCCATCGCTAATAAACAGACCATTTCACGTCCCATAATTTTAGCTATGTTGATTTATGCGTGTTTGTTTCAACATAAAACTACAAAAAACAATGTTTGTTTATTCTAGGAGATGGGCTGAGGTGCATCTGGGTTGACTCAGTCTTTTTAGTATTTTGTGTTTCTCTCAAGTACCAAACTAAATTATTCCATTGAAACAACACTTCGATTTAGTGCGAATTCGGTTTAAAGCGACCTCTCTTGGAATCTGTCTTGTGTTATATCGACGTTCTACTGTACACTGTACAGGTAACTCGTGTTTGATATAAGCATTTTTGGAATAACACGATTGTTCAATTTATACATAAAGCTAATTTACGCGCACCTATTTTTGAAATAACAAGCTCAAGGCAGTTTAAATTTGCCGCGCGTATTCGCCTGGCAGTGGAGTCGCGTGTGATGCCTCGTGAGGTGCTTGTAAGTTATTACTATAAAGTCGCAGTCATATCAACTTCAACGATTTTGATATTATTATTAATAATAATAATTATTATAAAAATGTAATAATAAAGATTATTACTACTAATGATGAAGATAATGATGATAATGAAGTATTCTGTACAACAACTGTGATGACGTCCAGCAAGCTTCCTGCGTATCGCTTTCTCAGTTCACACCAGCACTACTTTTTCTCTGTGCTTTCATTTGCATTGTGTGTTTATCACGTACCTTTTTAGTGTTAAACACTTGTTTTCCCCTTGAGCATGTCTGGAAAACATTCATCTGCCTCCTCTGGGATGCCTAAAGCTAAAAAGGCATGAAAAACATTTGCAGTGGACATGAAATTAAATGTGATTACCTGCCTTCAGAGAGAAGAGCATGTGTCGGAGGTTGGCCGCGTGATTAAATTGAATTGAATTGAATTGAAACAGTTTATTTAGCCAGAAAACACAGAGTGGATACCGGGTAATAATAACAATATTAACATGGCTGAGCCAGTTGTGAGCCTGAGCTCTCCTGTAGGCACCTGATATATACTATACATTTATCTCATGGAAGTATTATGTAACATTTAGTATCATCTGGAATAGTACAATAGCATGGTGGTAATAAGAACATTTCAGAATGTTACCACGGTTATCAATTCAATATTTATTTATTTTATTCAAGTAAGAGCACTATTCGTACCCTGTGCCGGATATGATGGTTCCCCTAACCTGTACCATTTACATGCATTCTTATGGGAAAATTATGTTTAATTTACGCATTTTTTAATTAAGCGGTGGTTTTCAAGAACGAATCCCCCCGTAAAACGAGAGGTGGGTGTATATAATTTGTATTTTGCTGTGAATAAAAGGATACGTTGTATCGAAGGTGACGTCTCACTTTATCTTCTCTCTCTCCTGCCTCCCACAACATACAGGTAGTCACCTAACAAAAAAATTCATTATGAGAGAAACCATTTATTATGTATACAGATTGCTGTATTTCTCCAGTAACTGCATAGAACAGGTTTATGGGCATGGGACGACTTCAGCATAGTGAGGGCGTGCCTGTGATGGCAGGCCTAATGAATCTAAAAAAAATCCATTAACCCACAGAAATTTCTACTAGCCCATTATTGTTTTTGAAATGTGTGGGAATATCTTTTAAAACTCTTAATGGCAGAAACAATGGCCAAAGCATCAGCTACCCCTTCAGCCAGAGGTGCTGGCTGAGAGGAGGAATGATATCTCAACGTGGACTCAACGCTTTAACACTGGTGAATACATTACATAGTCTTAATTTGTGCTTACATTCCCTAATTTGTGCTTATTATGCTTGCTTTACATGTCTGCTCTTTTTTCTTGCTTGACAGTCTGAGTGACAGAGATATATCGTGGGTAGATGGGAGTTTTTTGGGGGATGGCTGGTCTTTAACTTCCCAAATTTTTTATATTCTTAGGGGTTTTATTGTTTCGAAAACCGTTGATTCCCTGTCCATTGATTTTTCGCAGTCTGCACATGCGCCGGTTATCGAGGTATACCTGTACACATATTTCTCAACTCCCTTGTAACTTGTCTTCTGTACTACCAACTTAAACAATGTCACCAACAA